TCCAATGGGAGACGCTGGCACAGCTAATGATGCCTTCCTCCGGAGGCCACAAGACGGTGACACCCTTAGGGACCGTGCTATTCGAGCAGCGGGGCGCACCGAGAGAGAGCGCGTGTCCCACACGTGTTCATGTGCGTCGCTTGTGCTTTGGATGCACTTCGGATGCACTTGCACTTCGGATGCACATTCATTCCAGATCTGCTGTTCGTTAGTTAAAGCAACACCTTTTTCAATGTTCCTTTCACAGTAGTATAGCTATTTTTGAAGTATGCTTTCAGTGCTTGCTATTCCTGTCACAGCTGTTCCATTTATGTTTTCCCTCACGATACCAATGCTAACATAAGTTCCTTTCTTCAATCATGCATTTTATTTCTATCGCCTTTCGGCATGGTTTCAGCTCTGTATAATGGCTATAACTTGCTTTGTATCTTGTGATTATTGCATACATTGTGTATTAATTACATCATTAACGTTTAACTTCTGTACTGCTCAATGGTTATATGATCCTCATGTCCTGTTATTATGCTTGCATGTTTTTACGTCTACATCCTTTTTTTGTGTGCGTGAAAAATTACTGTATTGCCCAACTGCCACGCTCTCGAAGGAGAGTAGCAGTATTTTAAATAAAAAACAAATAAATAAATTAACCCAGTCGGTTGCGGTGTAGTTGAGGGGCATTTCTGCTGTTGCGAACATAGCACATGCCTCCGCATGTATTTGCCGTGTTTATTTTCTATGCATGTTGTTAACGTTTGTGTCCCTTCATGAAACCGGGATGTCGTTGCAGAAAAAAAAAATGCAAGGAGAGCACTAGTTTTTTTTATATATTGTGTGAGTGGACACTGCTATAACAAAGAGCGCATTTTATTATTGAGCGGCCCTGCAGACCCAGAACGCTGCGCCGAGTAAGATAAAAACATAAAGTGAAAGAATCGAAGACTATCTGTGGCAGCTGTTGTTAGTGAGAAACATTTTAGTAATTGCTATATTTAGCGTTCCTTCAAAATCATAGTCAATGGTGTCATCAGTGAAATTCTCTGTAAAATATTCAAACTAAAAATTTGTGTCCTTCATTTTATTTGCCACTCTCGATTTCTTTTGACGGCCAAGATGATTTCTCGCTTAATTCGCCGTCGCCGGCACCGGCATTTCTACAAATATAGCTCTCTAATGCTGTTGCGTTATTAATCATTATTTTTCTTACACTACTCGACAATGTCTGCATCGGTACCGGGTGTTTCAATAAATCTGTCCAAGATTCTCAAAAATGAATGTGCTGTAGCACTCAGACCATATTCGTTATGAAATTAAGCTATTTACATTTAATTAGTACAGTTAGCGTCAACGTCATTGGAGAATTGAAGTTCATGTGAAAAACTCATCCTACCTTTGAGCAATAGAAAAGTGGCTTATGATAAGTAAATTTTGTGGCATAATTAAATCAACCAAATACCGTGTGTTTCACTGTTGAGTTTCATCAGCTTTATTAAAGTTGACTTTTTCTCTCGGAAACCATGCGCATTCTTTTATTTATTGATAATTTTTTGTTCAAATCCTCGATATCATGTACCGTATTAATGATAACGGAGGCATGTGCATTTGTAAAAGTGCTACAAAAAATACTTTGATTACACATCGCCTCCCAACCAGGGTTCTACAGTTCTAAGTGATCGGCGCCTGTCGCACGCGCGTGGGCAGAGAGACGGTTGCGCCCGTGATAGAGATGCTGCTGACACCGCTCCGCTCAGGCTCTCGCTCGGGCCGCTCGGCTATTGGCTCGGCATAGCACAATCCCTGCGGCTATCGCCGTTTGGTGGCCGTCGATGGAAGGCATCATTCTCCGTGCCACCGCGACGGCCACGGTCGGCACACTGGTAAGTATATTCTAGACACTGTAGCTCAACATTTTATTGTAACGTAGTAGCACTCGCAATACCAGTTGCGGCAGCGAACGCACCACTTTGCTACCCTCATCATCAGTTTCCGTGCAGTATTTGCAGCTTCTGGCTAGCTATTGCCATTTGTGTCGTGTCTTAATTCGAACTTCCGGTTAATTCGAACTTCCGGTTAATTTGAACTCACGATGAGGTCCCGTCAAAGCTATGTGTATTCTAATGGGCAAAAACGCCCGGTAATTCGAACATCCAAGCACTTCCGACAGTTAATTCGAACATACCGCGCTCCGAAAATGCTCTCAGCACCCAGCCCAATCCCGCAGCGGCACCTGTGACACCTCAACACTGCCCGCAAAAGAACTGAAAACGAAAGAAAAGGCTGCGGTCGAATGTTTGCTCTCTTTCAAATGCCGATCTGCGACGCGCCCGTGTCACACTTCTCCCTTTTCCGTCCCTGCCAGTTAAAGACCCTCCTCCTTTCAATGCAGTGGGGGAAAAGAGAGAGAGAGAAAAAAAAAGCCGTCGCTGGGTTGAATGATTGTGTGGTTGAAGGAAAGGAAAAAGGCACAATCTTCTGCAGCCCTTGCCCCTTGTGGGAGCATGGCTCTGGGCCTTGAGGGGGGGGTCTCTCATGCGCCGGTGCCACGCTTTCCCCTTTTCCTTCCCTGCCACCTTTCTCCTTTCAACTACATGCGCGAAGAGAGCAAAAAAAAAAGCTGCCGTGGAGTGTTGGTTTTCTCTGAAATGCCGATCTGCTTTTCTCCGCGTGGAGACGCTCCTCCTTTCTCGTCACGTGCTGGCCCTGCTGCGTCTGCCTAGCGGAGAGCGGAAGGCTCCGCTACGCAGCAGTCGTTGTTGTCATCTTTAGAAAGTGTCAACGCTGGACATTCTTGCGTGCAACTTCTTTTACCAGGAAAATGCTGAAGCCGAAGTAGAAATGCTTTGCAAGCTGCGTGCGAAATCGATTTACTCGCTGCAATGCAAACGTGTGCAGACGCGCATCACCGATTATCACTGATTCAATTATTAGCGGATGTCCTGCGATTTTGTGAATAAATGTAAATCTTCTTAAACTACCCCCTGTGTGCATCACCGATTACTTTAATTATTAACGAATGTCCTGTGATTTGTGAATAAATGTAAATCTTCTTAAACTACCCCCTGTGTGCATCACCGATTACTTTAATTATTAACAAATGTCCTGTGATTTGTGAATAAATGTAAATCTTCTTAAACTACCCCCTCGTGTGTTAGCCCAATGCACATGTGCCACTGCATGGAGAGCCGTCCGTTTATTTAACTTTCATTAATTCAAACTTCTTTTATTTCGAACAAATTTTCAGGCCCCTTCGAGTTCGAATTATCGAGATTCGGCTGTACCGTAGAAACAATGCCAATGATGTGCTTGAAGGTGCTTTCAATGCCATGTAAGAGTTAGTACTAAGAGGCTAAAAACAGCAGCTCCACGATACCACTAACCGAGGTGAAAGTGCACCCGAAGATGTGGTTTCGGATATCGAGGAATAAATACCGTGAAACACCATCAATACTATGTGCCAGAAACGGCGGCATAACTAAGCACTATACATACTACGCATTATTCACCAGCTACAAATTTACATCTACTGACATGTGCCATCGCCACTAAACATCGAATAAATTCAGTGCCACAAGAAATATTGCCGAAAGTGCCCACTGCAAAGCCGTGTCTTTCTTTTTGCCAAGGTGCGGAAAAGTTTCTGGCTTTTGCACAGCCGCCCAATAGCACATGATGGCGACGCCGGGGAGCTTTTCGAAACTACTGTGGCGTCCGGGACGGCGTGTTGCATTCAGTGTACACAGGGTGGTAGAGGGACAGAACGGACACAATTGGCTGTTCGTGAGACAGTTGTTCCGCAGAGTGCTTCTAAGCGAAAAGTGATGCAGTTTTTATTTTTTAACCCTGTACAGTCACATGGAGCCAAATTGTTTACTCTATGGTTAGTTGCGTGCAGTGCATTTTTACTCGGCGCACAACATCACTGCCGACCCGCTTGCTGTAGAACGCCCACTCCGCTTCTGGCCATGCACAGTTGCGGCGAGTAGCCAGCTTGGTTAACGTGGCGATAACGAGCTTTCCGCAAGCAATGGGCTCTCCGCAATGCTCTAGTAGTCCTGGCAGCAAACGAAGGTGCGTTTTGGCTGTCGCTGAATAGAAGCGCCCATCATGGTTACAACAGCGCTGCACTTGCTGTATGGTGCGCATGTTGCATAATACAGCAAGGTTTCTCGATGCCCAGGACCTGCGACAGCGAGCTGCTTGCGTTTCTGAGTGTACGCTTCAACATGGTCCAACAAAACAAAGCGGCAGCGATCAGCGGCCAAGCACATTCAGGTAGTCGCCTACTAAAAAAGCACAGTAGACATAAACAGACGCTACACCACACGCCTGTCCAAACAGACAACCGGGGATGCTTACTGCAATAAGGATTTTCGCGGCAATAGGTCACACTGGCGCGTTTGTCAGTGATCGCCACCTCTCCTTTGTTTTTCCCCGATGATTGCATGGCAAGCCATCACTGCGATCGTGCGTAAGTCTGAATCGGCTGATCTCCACCCACTTAACATGACAGAAAACCGTGCAAGGCACATTGTGGCATCTGCAACTTAAGTGGCACAGTAAAACTTTCTGCCACAAAATGTTATCACGATACACAGTTAATATGCACTAACCGGCAGGCATAAGCCATAAACTACAATTTAAGTGATCCGCGAATGCTTTAGTCTCTATGAGACTCGATAGGAGATTCGTTGCAACTAGGTTTTAACGATTCGTATTCCTAAAGAGGGTACGTACTAACAATGTTTGACTTCATTCGTTTTCTGCACCTCAAGACAATGTTATTTACATGTTTTACACAGCTGCTTAGACGTATTCAATGCCGTGCATGACTCTGTTTTCAAATGCGGCGTCAAAAATAGGAGCGTTATACCAAGGTGCACCTTATTAAACTTTTTTCTCCACGAAAGTCGTAAAAGGTAGAGGGTGAATTTTATACAAAGGCGCTGCTTGTACACTGGAAAATACAGTTCTTCAAAGCCTCAGCTAAGTACACCACTTCCTACCAGCAGAAATCGTGGTGCACGTCTCCTGGCGAGCATTGGTCTTCTCGTCGATTCGGTACGGTGGTTGTGGTGGTGTCAGCTGACGCGACAATGGTGGCAGGTGCGCTCCCGGGACATAGCCACCCAGGACCACTGAACCAAAGGCCAGTTCTCGTACCAGCATGGAACCATTCTTCACAAAACTGCAGTGCACATCCATAACAATGATTTTTGGGGTTTAACATCTCAAAACCACAGCATGATTATAAGAGATACTGTAGTGGAGAGCTCCAGAAATTCAGACCACTTGGGGTGCTTTAAAGTGCACCTAAATCTAAGCATAGAGGCTTTGAGCATTCTCGTTTCCATCAAAAATGTAACCGCTCCAGCCGGGATTCGATCACGCAACCTGTGGGATCATTGAGCACCATAACCACTAGACCACTGGAAATGAATGCAATGCCTGTTCATACAAACAGAGTTACCAGATCCGCTTATAATGAGCTGATTTGGGCTTCTTTTTCGATGAAGTTACTAGTAAAAACTTAGAACCGCTTGTAGCATTTTTCGGGGCACTTATTTGCATTTTGCCAGCAAATATCTCTTTCCGGCTCAGATTAACGTGCATTCTCCAGTGTCAAATTCACAAAGCATAAATCCAAGGTACTCAATATTACATACATCCTAATAAAGAAAATGATGCAATTTTATGTCAAGTGTTATTCTCTAGTCAGTCATGTTGCATTTTATATCATAATAATAATACAACAGGCCCCAAATGCGTGCGCAAAATTTGATTGATATGTGAGGTTTAATGTCCCAAAACCACCATATGATTATGAGAGACACCGTAGTGGAGGGCTCCGTAAATTTCGACCACCTGGGGTTTTTTAACGTGCCCCCAAATCTGAGCACACGGGCCTACAGCATTTTCGCCTCTAACGAAAATGCAGCCACCGCAGCCGGGATTCGATCCTGCGACCAGCAAGTCAGCAGCCGAGTACCTTAGCCACTAGACCACTGCGGCGGGGCAATGTGTCCGCAAATAGTTCTGGAACGTATTCATTTCAAGAAAAGAAATGCAGTATTTTCGTTTGGACATTGGTTCCAGAATGCAACATGTCGAATAACCCATTGAACAGTGTGCTGCCTTCATTACACTCTCCGTGCAATTAGCATTGTGGTTGTCATTTGTTTAGTATTATGCCAGGCTATATTACATAGGCTAATGCTATTCCTTGTCCAACACGATGACTTTTTAATGTCTTTTTGATAGTAATTAGATTCAAGCACCAGTGCAGCTCTGCGGTGAAATACTCGACTGTTATGCAGAGGGCTCGAGTTCAAATCCCATTCAATACTGGGCATTTCTTTTTTCTCATTTTATTATTTTCTTTTTCATGTCTATCGGTTATGGCACCAAAGGGGACAGCAACGGCAACTCCACTCAACACAGGAACAGGGGCCTAAGAGCTGCACTTTAAAAAAAAACACACCTCCACCAAGTAAATCGTGATGAGTGGGCGAAGACCTGGGCATTATATCAATGAGCAACTACACGTTGCCCCATGTAATGTAAACTGAGTGTCATAATGTACAAAAATATGTCAATTTATTTCGCCTTCTAGTCATCTTAAGCAATTCAAGGTATACTTAGAAAATTGCTGAAGTGGAGCATATGCCTCAAAAGTGAATTCGAGAACCCCCCGCCTTATTGGAGGCACGATACCACTTTAATATAGGTAATTTAGAGGGACATATAATGCTCGACATGTGCCTTTGTGTTTAAGGTTTATTTGGGAAGCCTCAACATTTAGGCACATTTTAGCGGAGATCACCTCATCAACACTCTTTTCGATAGGTTATTTCACCACGGAATAGCTATTTCTTACTCAGGAGTGGATCTAGCCACTCATATATATATATATATATATATATATATATATATATATATATATATATATATATATATATATATATATATATATATATATACACACACACACACACACACACATATATATATGTGTGTGTGTGTGTGCGTGTGTGCATTTTGGGGGGGGGGGGGCAGTCACAAAATACCGTACATAAGGTGGGTATGAACCCACCTTATATTCAGAAAAGTTAACGACAATTCAGGGGGAGGGTTCATTATGCCGGAGGAAAAAGTCACGGGAGTTATAGCAGCGAAAAGTTTGCATGACGGTATTGCTTGTTCTGACCCATGAAATGCACGACGAATTGTTTTTGTAGCCCGAAGCTCTTGTTTTCTCCCATAATGAATGTGCATGGATCAAAGCCAAATGTGTCATCCAGCCGTTCGGTTCCCATGTCCACTGCGGCAAACCCGACAAGAAAAACGCAGCGTCACATGGCAGCACACAAATATTGCGGGCGATGCACCATCGGCGTGGTGGGCCCTTTGCATGGCTTGTGAGAAGGCAGGCGCGTGGCATGTTTATACGCCCCGCACCCGTTATCTCGAAGGCCATGCATTTGCTTTTAAAGAAGTCTTTCTTGGGGACCACGAACGAAAAAATTTTGATATGTCTGTCTGTACATTTGTCTGTTTGTCCGCCCTAACGATCACTCCAAATGGCATTAAACAGCCAACCCCATTCGCTGTGCCAACCAATATTGCTCAAGGTTTACGTATTAATAAGTGTACAATTGTCAATTAAAAAGCAATTATTGCGCATATCTGAGGCACCACAACAACGCTTCGATGTTTTCTATGTCTGCCTTTATACTAGAAGAGGCACACACAAGTAACTCTAAAGAATGGCGCTGTGCTGACAGTGCAATGCGCTGCTCAAAAACGTGTTTCCAACGCTTTGCTACGACGTCACGGTGGTGGCACCTGCCCGTCACTTGCGTTCTACACCTTATTACCTTCTAGACTGGCGCACATCTTTCTCCACGGGCTGCACGCCTTCGTTTTCGAAGATAACTGCCAGATGACACTTGTGTCTAACGTGCCTAGATGCGCTCGTTCGCCTCCGCCACACGCTCGAGGCACTCTAATGCAGCGTCTGCAGAATACCATTCACCGATTTTCTTGCACAGAACATCAAATAAACGTTTTGTTCACTCTCTCCAGACGCAAGACTATTGTCTTTCGACAACATTTACAGTGTAACATGTAGATTCGGGCCAATTTTTTTTTTGCTTTGTTCTCATGCCGCTGTGTTTGTGTGGTGCTATAAGCAAAGAGGTTTCTCCTGCATTCGGCAGATAGCGATCTGTTGCAAAAAGCGGGACTTTTAAACTTTGATTGACGTTTTCTCCGTTCGCACTGCTCGCAACTGTTTAACATGGCTGGAAAACTATGCTCCGACTTTTATTGCGTCATTATTTTGTAATATAATGGCTTGATTTAATGTTGTTTCGATTGGGAATGGCACTGGCTATCACACCAAAACAAAATGAACAGATACATTAAAAATTTTCTTTTTCTTTTTTGCAAGAACCAAGGGGTGGTAGGGTTCATTATGCAAGTGCATTCATTACACGAGTAAATATGTTACTAGAAGTAAAACTGGAAAGGGAGGAAGGGGGGAGGGTTCTAACTCTTGCTTGTAATAGTTGCTGTTATCAGGAGAACCACAAGAACCACATCACAACATAAATACCGCCAAGAGAAGATGTGATCCTAAAAAAAAAAAGAAATGTGTAGCCTAGGCCGATGATATTTTTACTTTATGCATAGGTTTTCATGCTGATTTCAAATATGTCATTAGTTCTATAATAAATTGTACAGTTTTCGTTTTATGCCGTGACAATGTGTAAAGTATTGTTTATATTGAATAAACTTTTTATGCCACTAAACCTTAACGGTTCTGAGTCATTGATAACTCATATTTCTCTACATTAACTGTAGAATGTAAATAGCCATCAAGAAAGTGTGCATAAAATGTTATAATAGACAAGAAAAACTGTAATGAGGGAATTCTTAAAAATCCTCAGCCCATACTATTTACTGCCTTCAGATTTGTAATAATTGGAGCTGTGCTTGCTACTGCCAATTTATACCTGCAAACTTCTTAATCTCATCTGCCCACCTAACCTTCTGTCTCCCCCTAGCCTGCTTGCCTTCTCTGGGAATCCAGTTAGTGACCCTTAATGACCAGTGGTTATCCTGTCTACGCGCTACATGCCCGGCCCATGTCCCTTTCCTCTTCTTGATTTCATCTATGATATCCTTAACCTCCGTTTGTTCCCTAATCCAATCTGCTCCCTTGTTGTCTCTTAAGAAAAACAGATGAAAACAAGAAAAAAACGTGTAATTTTAGAAAAACTTGGAGACAGGTAACGATGGAAAGGGGGGGGGGGGGGGTGATGACACAGGCTGGAGGGGGAAGCTATTGCCCCTACCGCCTCCCCCCCTGGATCCACTATTGCTCTTATCTTATAATTAGCCTGTGTCTACGTTCAAGATTATGGTAAAACCTTCTTTTTTGTATTTTATATGTGTTTCGCCGACAGCAACAGTTCTATACTGTGACCACATGGGAAGACAGGACTAGATCATGAGAAGCTTCCCCCTTAAAGAAAAGGTCACCTAGTATACATCTTTTCACTTTTGCCCCTAATCAAGAAAACATGTTCTGGTGAAATTTCTATGAATATCGAACATGTAGTACATACTTTGGATGGATATGTGAGGTTTAACGTCCCAAAACCACCATATGATTATGAGAGACGCCGTAGTGAAGGGCTCTGGAAATTTCGGCCACTCGGGGTTCTTTAACGGGTGTCCAAATCTGAGCACATGGGCCTAGTACAGCATTTTCGCCTCCAATGAAAATGCAGCTGGGATTCCATCCCACGACCTGCAGGTCAGCAGCCGAGTACCTTAGCCACTAGACCACTGTGGCGGGGCTGTAGTACATATTTTATATGACTAAGATTGCACTCTAGGCGCAAGTTGACTACAAATGAAAATGAGTACAATACTTACCTCGACATTTTGCTCCATACTTCCTCAAGCACAAGGCAGTATGTGCTGGTCACCACAGCATCAAAGTAGCAGGGGACCAGGTAACGAGGAGTCTTTTTTACTGAGGCAAACACTTGGTCCAGCCACTTAGCAAACTGCATGCAATGAGATAAATAATAGGGAGCTTTAGAACAACATATTCAAAACTTCACATATGCTATTCCTTGCAGTCGCAGTCACAGTGCACACTTCACGATAAAGAGTTATAGCAAGTTGCAGAAATTTGGTACACAAATACGCTACTGTATGATAGCACCACTATTCATTAAAAATTATTTAAAAAAATATTATTAAAAAAAAGCTTCTTTAAAAAATTATTGAGGGGTTGTCCTTGTTGCCAGTCAGCCTATGCATTGTTAACCTGTCGTCTGGGGGACACACTGTCACTGGACAGGAGAAACACTACAGCACTGTCTTACTGCATTTGCATATCTTATCTCCATAACTTACTAAAACTCTGTAATGCTAATCGCTATTGGTGTTTGCGTTCCTCCCACAAAAAATCTAAAATAGTGTGCAGCCTTCAAAACATTTTTGTCGTGACGTTGAGAACCCTCTGTGTGCTTTAGTGTCGCTGTGAGCTTGTGCTAGCATTTGCAGTGGACAAACACAATACTAAAACTCATACTGTGCCCTTCGCCCGCAACACCCACTATCTTTCCATACGCTATTCTAAAGCTGCCTAATGTTGTCATTATCAGTCTATCTTACGGTCAATGTAGGATGAAAGCCTCTCCCAATGATCTCTGGCCGATACAGAGCCAGGTTCTTTTTATCCGGGACAGGCGAGTTCCTTCAAGGGGGTGCAGAGAAATCGAAAACTCAGGCACTTTGTTTAGATTGTTAAAAGAAGAAGTGCTAAAAATCTGCGAGCACAAGAAAAAGAGAGCAGACAAAGGAATGGTGCTACTAAAAACTGTTTATTTACGTCACATTCGAGATACCAATGAGCAAAACAATTTTTCTCATATTAGCACTAAGTTGCTCTCTCACAGTACCAAAAACACCACACTTGCAGCAAGAAAATGCTTGTGCCTAATGAAGCGCTTCATGAGCTAGACACCATTTTTATGAAAGAAAACATGCAAGCACATGACTACACCTGCAGCACCGTCAGCCAACGAATAACCTTTGGCGGCATCACCCGTTGCAAGACCACAGCAGGAGCGTCATCCAGCAGTGCCCGTCTAACAGTGTTATTATCTGTTGGTCGATGGTGCTGTCGGCAGCCACGGCAAGGCCACACGCTCCCGTTCTTAAAAAATGACAGAGTACATATACTATGCTTGCAAAAGCCTGCAACGCTAATGCAAGGTAAAAATAGTGATTTAAAGAGCAGACTAAATTGACAAGGCATACTTTTAGGTTCTAAATAAACTTTCAGTTATTAGAGCAACTTGTGTACATGTCTTTCTCCTCGTCTGGTCTCTTGTTTTCACTGACGCTGCTTTACTGTGCACAGTGAATGCATAATTTCGTCATTACATCGACCAGTCTCTGTAGAGCAGCACAAGGATCCTTGCCTTAGTGGTGGTGCGCTCCTGACTGAGGCGATTGGTGATGTACTCCATGAGCCAGTCACCAACACGCAAGTTGTCACAAACGGGGTGACCGAGGTCATTTCTGATGCGAATCTCTGAGAGCACCGACATGATGCCTGCAAGAATTAATGAGAGGCTAAAGAACAAGCATTCATCACAACGCGATTGAAAATAATGGCTGAAACACGCTTGGAGCTAAAGCTTAGCATGCTATTGGCACACCACAAAACCATTTCCATCCAATCATGCAGTTCTCAAAAAGTAACTAGAGGGAACTCTCGCAATAGTGTTCTGCCACAACCATTTTATTTGCACCTTTCCTGATTTTGCAGTCACAGACAAGGTGATGATTTGTCATTCACAACTTTTGGTCATGGCTTTCCAGGGTGTAACAGCAGAATGTAAACAGTTCTCAGAATGCAAAGTATGAAGGGGTCTTTGATGGGCAACTTTTCACCAAAGACCTGTATGACCATAGTTCTGCACTTTAAATGATCACAGGACAGGGCCGTGTGAGGAAGGGTATAAGGCCCTACTTAGATGATTAGGGAGGGCAACGGTATCACCCCCTACTGGACACCCCCCCATGCACCTTAGGGTAAGCTGCATTCTGACGCAGTTTTCTGATGACGCTAGTGTAACAGAAATGCGCTCGGCACCACTAGTGCCAGATCAAAGAAATCACTCTCAAAACACCGCATCCTTCACCCCTCCTGAGGTTTCAAACTACTGAAGCTGAAACACCCTTCCTGACAGCTTTTATTTTTCTCATTGTGCACCTCACCTGACCTGTGTTTGACATGCTCGACTCCCACTGAGACAAGGGGACAAGAAGGGCAGCACACGATGCACCCACCTTGGAGGCCACAGTAAACGAGGTTGCCAAATCTTGGGAAGTTGTAGGCAGACCCACCCCTGTCCTCTGCACGTTCCTCAACATCGCAGCGAAACAGAACTCGGTTCAGGTCGGACAGCGTGAGGGCCTTGAGGATGCTCACAATGCTCTCTTCATTACTGCCAACATCGGCTGAGGCAGCACGGCGCTCACGTGGTTCTGCCCCGATGTATCCCATGTTAGTCAGGTGCTTGTGGAGGTACTGAATTGCAGCTTTGCTCGTTGGATGAGGGCTGACTCTAGAATAAAAAGATAATCAATTTGTGGAAGATGAAGAGGCACTTGCTTTTACTGATTAACATAGAGTCTCTTACAACTTCCCAGGGGGAACTCTGGCACTGCGATTCTTAAGCCATTATGGAAATGACAGGTATTGCACGAATTCGCCTAATCTTCATGCTTACGGCTTTGAATGCAGTTGTGGCTTTGTCTGTTGTTGGGTTCTGGCATTTGTTTTGAACAAAGGAATGAATAATTGTGAACTTCGTGAGTCGATTTTAATTGGCGAGCCAAAAAAGGTTGAGGTGGTGAAGTGTAACAGCTCAACATTAGCTGACCTTTGTCTTGTGGCTTTATATATAGTTTTGGTTTTATGCAAAGTGTCGACAACACCACAAATCGTAATTTTTGTCAAGTGGGACATTACCGACCATGCCATTATTTGTCTTTTTGCAGATAAGCAAAGTACCGGCGTTGTCAAAAATTCCCAGGCCATGCTGCTAATGGAATACATAGGATAGTGGCCTGGGAACTTTTGACAGCTCTTGTACCTGCTACACATCTGTAAAGTATTAGGTGCACTTTGTTCACACTGCACATGGCTAATGATGAAAAATCAAGGGCGAGCACATTAAACCACACATTTCCTGTCTAATTACGGCAGTGACAGTTTACTCTTGCGTTAAACTATACATAGCTTAACGCGATTTCTTGCCCGACATGAGGCATTTATAGGGTCTTTTCGCAAATTACTTTCAGGCACCAGCACTGCTCTGTTGTTGAATACTTGACGGCCACCCAGAGGGCCTAGATTTAAATCCCATCAGATCCTGGGCATTTCTCTTTTTCCATGTCTACAGCAATGAAAATGGTGATTCCGCTCAATGTGGAGAGCTGCACTCTAAAAAGTGACACCTACCTGAAAGCGATGACCGAACCTGGTGTGAAGTTGGTCAAATCTAACTCCTGCAGGTTCTCCTCACTCTCTTTACTGAGGTCCACCATTTTAGATTCCACCAGAGAAAGATGCTCATGGATTTCGAGTTGGTAGTCGTGCATCCCCACAATGTACTCCTTGTTCTTGTCCTGTTTAGTGTTGCTGTCCTTATTCACTTTAACAGTCTTCGCTTCAAAGATTACCTCCTCAATCACTCCGGGAATGCACAGCGGTGGGATACAACCGGTGTCGTTGGGGTTGGCAGGCATCTGGAACGATGTACGGGCCACCAGGACAACTGACTGATGCGTGGAAGCACTGTGTCGAGTGACAGCGATCGTGTTAGAATCAACCTGGTCAACAAAAACCTGTGTGTAACCTTGTAGGCCTAGCTCATAGTGGACCCTGTTCAGTGCCCGCTTGGCAGCGATAATTCCCGAATGTAGGTGGACGCACGAAGGCTTTTCAGATGGCTTTGCTGACCACACAGGGTACTGACGAAACTCGTCGACAACGTCAATGTGATGAGAAACAAGTTCATCGTAACCACGATTCGATCCTGTAGCACAACATGCCATCGATACCACGGCAGCGCTCGGAAGATAGTCATATGCTGAACGTTTCTCGAAAGGTGATGGGTTGTCATGTGTGATGTCCATGAAAAGTGCGTGTGCAATGCATGGTTTAAGGCAACGAATCGGAGGCGGTATAAAGCTTCCAACCGGTTCACCACCGTACCGGTAAACGAGCCGTCCTAGCTCATGAGCATTAGGAGCGCTCATGGCTTCTCGGATAAGTGAACTGATTCCCAGTCGATTGACGAAAATGTTGTCCACTTCCTCCCTCGAGGTGAACAGCTCGGCGATCACGTAGAGGTCCGGACGTATCAGCCGGGCCGCATCGAGTACGTACTCTGCGAGAGGAAGTGGCGTGCTGTGGCAGTTGTCCAGGCGTATGCCGTGGAATATCTTGGCAGTCTCGCATACGTAGTCCTTCATGTACTGCCATAAGAAAGGGCAATCATCAGGGGACTTGCCGTATCGAAGCTTGACACTGTCGCCCCAGGCAATGAGCTCGCGTCGCAGGTACACATTCGACCCGGCCTCGGCGAAATTTCGCAGAGGGTCATCGTTCATGACCCAGCCGTTATGTGCCATTACGTAGGCAGCTTTGTCACTGAAAATTAGCTTCTCGGCCTCTTTCAGGTCCAGGACTGGAATATCCGTGTTGACCACAAAGTATCTGCAAAGCATATCAAGCATTAAAATGAATTGCATTTCTTTTACACTGCTGTACCCATAGAGAAGAATAACACAAAAAAGTAAGGTGCAATAAAGAGTAAAAGGTGCGCTAAAACTGATATTAAAGTATATGTTCATTTTGACTACCATAGAACAATCAAGCGTCGGGCGAGTTGGTATTTCATTGTAAACGACATTTTGCGCAAAAAAGAAAAAAAAATGGATAAGAAGGAAGAGAGCACAGACAGGCATAAACTAACAACTGAAGTTTATTTTCAGAAAAACACACATGTAAATGAAAGGCAATGACACGTGGTTATGATTACAATTTGGCAGTTAGATAATGCATCTCGAGTTTGTAAACGTTCACTGATGGCCTCGCCACACATGCGCCTCAACAATCTCTCGCGGGTCATATCTTTCAGCCTCGACAACACTTCCATTTCATTTATTAAAGGATGACATCCACAATCCTTACAATGAAGGCGGAGATTAGACGAAAGTTGCCTTTTCGGAGAATTTCTGTGGTCCATTAATCGATTACTTAACAGCGCCTGGTTTGGCCGATGTAACACTTCCAATATAATAGTGGAATGCAATAGACTACCCCCTTTCCACACTAAACCAGTCTGTCCCGGTGTTTGACATCACACTCGTTTCATTTTCTCGTCTTGCCACCTCTCAACTCTCCTTCCAAGCGCTGCGCAGATATGACCTAGCTTGTTCTTGGTGGAAAATGCTGCGTGCGAGTTCCACAACCACCACGTACCTGCATGAGCCAGGAGAGTAGGCTGTCGCGCGGTTGTTAAAAAAAATAACGCTCAAGGGCTCACTGCTTTACTTCTGTATACATGTTTCTAATCATTTTTATACATTTTACGACCAGCACGGCAACTACAAGTACCAATCTCGGAGGCTTTGTATCTAAGTTGCTCATAAATTACTTCAGAGGGCGCCAACAGGTGGCGACACAGTCGTACGGTGTGCTCTGGCAGCACAAGTTGTCATCGAAAAAAGAGACACGTCTGAGGCGCCAGATGGCACACTGCCCCTTTCCAGTACACCATAACACTAGTGTCTATAAGAGCTGTGATGCATGGTGCTTCAGCCAACATGGGAATCGCGGGTAGTACACTAAATGGTCGAAGCTTATCACTCCAACCTTAACCTATTTATATTGACCATTCTGCAATACTCAATCATGAGTCTTTAAGTTAATAGAATGAAATGCAATTTTTACACGTCTGCAAGCACCAGCAAGTATTCTGGAATATATGGCTGGTCAGCTATATATCAGACACATTTGCACAAGGGGTTGGATCCTATGGTTCATAAAAACGAGCACTTAAGATGTTTCTTTCCATTGTTTATACTACTGGGTCACATATCAAATCTGTTAGACTTGATATATGCAGGTGGTATGAGAAGAATTATTGGTCAGCTGCCAGCTTGTAAAAAAAAACATGCCCTTCATAATGCCAAGCACAAAAAAAAAAGTGTTTTGTGTCGCTCATTTGCAACGTTTTGTGCTCGGCGTGCACTGAAGATCATCCCAATCAGCTGGATTACGAATGACCAAATTAACAAGTTTGATGTCATTGCACAATATTGTAGCGATGCTGAGGCCGACAGGTTAAAAAAAAACAAGCGTCTTTATTAGGGCGAACTTGTGCCCACGATTCTAAAGACTATGGTCGTCAAGTCCGAGTAGCCGAGTGGCACAGATCCAACTATCTTCCTCTTCCTCGTTGTTGGAGAGCACGAACGCGTGGCGCATGCCAGCCGAGCCAGGTCTTGCTGGTGCTGGTGCCACGATGATTGTGGCGGGCTACTTGAACGTGGCGAACCTGTCGCAGCATTACCCTCCTCCTCAGACGCATTGTCCCGATGCTTAAGACAGTGAAAAGATACATGCGCACTCTCACTCGTTTTTCGATGATCTGTCATGATAGGGCTTCATGCGGACTATGTGTACCACTTCCGTGGGATTGCGGCGTCTTGAACTCACGTGTCCAGCGGATCTGACTTCATAAGTGACGTTGCTGATACGGTTGAGTACTTCATAAGGGCTGAAGTATCGGCAAAGAAGCTTTTCAGAGAGTCCGCGGCGGCGCACTGGTATCCATATCCACACTTTGTCACCGGGATGATAAAGTGCGTCACTGCGTCGCTTGTTGTACCGACTAGAATCGACGTGCTGTTGGTGGCGTATTCGGTATCTTGCCATTTGCCGTGCTTCTTCGGCTCTTTGCAAGAAGTCATCTAAGTCAGGTGGATAGCTGCTTTCGTCCTGTAGTGGTAACATGGCATCCAGCAGGGTGGTCATTCTTCGGCCGAATACTAGTTCGAAAGGGGCAACGTGGGTTGTTTCTTGAACGGCTGTATTATATGCGAATGTTACGTAGGGTAATATTTCATCCCACTGTTTATGTTCAACATCGACATACATTGATAGCATGTCGGTCAGAGTTCTGTTGAGGCGTTCGGTTAAGCCATTTGACTGAGGGTGATACGCCGTTGTTCTTCTGTGATCGGTATTTGTCATGCGCATCAGGCATTGCATTAGGTCTGCAGTAAATGTGGTGCCCCGATCCGTAATAACGACGATGGGCGCACCATGTCTGAGAACTATGTTGTTCACAAAGAACTTGGCGACTTCGGCAGCTGTCGCACTGTATAGAGAGTCAGTTTCAGCATAACGGGTGAGATAGTCTGTGGCTACGACTATCCATTTCTTGCCTGCACACGATGTCGGGAAAGGTCCTAGGAAGTCCATGCCGACTTGTTGGAATGGGGCATCTGGAGGGTCTATTGGCTGGAGAAGGCCACAATATACATGTTTGCTCGGACCTGAGCACATGTTCAAATTATCCGATTTTCCAAAATAACTAGTGTCAAATTAACAAGCTTTGACTCTACCACAATTACTACAAAACACTAAACACAGTACGATGAACACACCATATACGTTCTTGGCTTAATTATCTGCTGGATTTCAATGATATTTTGTCACAAATAAATACAAGCCCTCAAAGCTCTCTTCCTTCATTCACTGCTATTGCAATTTGAAAGATGTTTCTCCTTCCTTGCATAAGTTTTCAGAGAGTTCTTGCTGCAACTACGACAGGCCCTTTTAGCGGAGGTGGCTGCCTACGCAACTTGTTTGTGCCAGTTGTGTGGCCAAAAGAGAGCAAGATACAGCTTCCATGGTCAACATGTCTTGACTGCAGCCGATCACTTTTGTGAAGGCACCACAGTGTTGAACTGGTCAAAAATATTTCTTTTTTGCAATGAATTGCAAAAAATAAATTGCATTGCACAGAAATTGCACAGAAAAAGGCATTAGTTGGTTTGCAACGCCATCAGCCGAGCGCGAGCGAGCGACGGGCATAATCGGCTTGCGCAATCGCGTCGCGGGCATACTCGCTGGTGGATGAGGTGTGAGCTGAGATGACTGTGTCCAGTGGTAAAGTTGGCTCTCTTCCGTACAATAAGTAGAACGGTGAAAAGCCCGCTGTGTTGTGACGGGATGAATTATACGCGAAAGTTGCATAGGGTAAGGCAAGGTCCCAGTCTCAGTGGTCGGGCGACACGTACATAGCGAGCCTATTTGTTACAGTACGGTTAAATCGTTCTGTGAGGCCGTTTGTTTGAGGGTGGTAAGCGGTTGTCAGTGTGTGTTGCGTGGAACAAGAACGCAGAATGTCGGCGATGACTTGGGATAAAAATGTACGGCCATGGTCTGTGAGGAGCTGTCTTGGAGCATCGTGATTCAATATAACGTCTTGTAACAAGAAGTCAGCGACGTCGGTTACATAGCTGGTCGGTAGAGCTCGCGTAATAGCGTAGCGTGTAGCGTAGTCTGTAATAATGGCTATCCATTCAATTCCCAATAATAATGTGGCAAAAGGACCAAGCAGGTCTAACCCAACTTGATAAAATGTTTCCACAGGTATGTCAATTGGTTGGAGATGGCCAGCGGGTAGCAGCGACGGTGTTTTACGACATTGGCAAAGGTAACACGTGGCAGCGTATCCGCGTACCGTGCGAGCAAGGCCTGGCCAGAAAAAACGGCGCCGGACGCGCTCGTATGTGTGGGATACGCCAAGGTGTCCAGTCGTGGGAGCATCGTGAAGTTCGGTGAGAATACAGCGGCGCAAATGCTTAGGCACAAGAATGAGAAGGTCGGGCTCGTCTGGTTGAAAATTGCGGCAATATAGCACACCCTTTTGAATGACAAAGTAGTGGATGGAAGTGCCATTTGGGGAGGATTCTGCATGGCTGATGATGTCAAGCAGCACTGGATCACGCTTCTGTTCTTCCCCAATGTTAAGGAAGTCGAACAATGACAAGATAGAGTGCTCCATGGGCTCGTCAGTGACCTCAGGATCGTCGACAGGGTACCGGGAGAACCAATCGGCATCATGGTGTAGGTGGTCAGATTTGCAGACCACCGAATAGGAAAACTCTTGCAGGTGCAAAGCCCAGCGACCAAGGCGGCCTGACTGATCTTTCAGAGAGTTGAGCCAGCAGAGCGCGTGGTGGTCGGTAACTACCGAAAATGGGCGTCCGTATAGATAAGGTCGGAATTTCGCCACCGCCCCTACAAGAGCCAAGCACTCACGCTCTGTGATCGAATAGTTACATTCAGGGGCGGATAGGATGCGGCTGGCTTATGCAATAACGCAATCATGGCCATGTTGTTTCTGAGCCAGCACTGCAGCAATGCCATGTCCACTTGCGTCTGTACGTATTTTCAAAGGGGCAGCAAGGTTGAAGTGTGCCAGAATTGGAAGACTAGTGAGAAGAACGATAAGAGTCGAGAATGCAGAAGCCTCTTCCGAGCCCCGTGAAAACGGGACGTCTTTCTTGAGGGGCTGCGTAAGTGACCTCGCTATGTGTGCAAAATTTTTCACGAAGCATCGGAAGTAGGAACATAGTCCGATAAACCTGCGTATCATGATATGTGGGGTTTAACATGCCAAAACTACCATATGAATATGAGAGACGCTGTAGTGGAGGGCTCCAGAAATTTCGACTACCTGTGGTTCTTTAACTACGCCCAAATCTGAGCACACGGGCCTACAACAATTCCGCCTCCATCGGAAATGCAGCTGCCGCAGCTGGGATTGGCTCCCGCAACCTGCGGGTCAGCAGCCGGGTACCTTAGCCACTAGACCACCGCGGCGGGGCGATAAACCTGCGTACATTCTTCGCAGATCATGGTACAAGAAAGTTTTTGACGGCACTGATTTTTGCCGGGTCTGATTGCACACCGATGGCGTCTACTAAATGGCCAAGTACTATGATTTGATGGCGCCCAAAGTGACATTTGCACGAATTGAGCTGCAGGCCAGCGCGACGGAAGATGCCTAAGATGGCTGAGAGGCGCTCTATATGAGTTTCGAATGTTGGTGAAAAGACGAAGTCGTCCAAGTAGCATAAACAGGTGGACCATTTGAATCCTCTGAGCAGGGAGTTCGTTCGAAGGTGGCTGAAGCGTTACAAAGCCGAAGGGCATGACCTTGAACTGATATAGGCTATCGGGATGATGAATACCGCCTTTTCACGGCCCATTTCATCTACCTCCATCTGCCAGTAGCCGGAACGAAGGTCTATGAAAGAAAAATAGTGGGACCCATAGAGGCAATCGACCGCATCATTTATTCGTGGCAGAGGGTACACATCTTTTTTGGTAATGTTGTTGAAGTGTAGAATGCCATGCACGTAGAAACGCCATGCACAGTCTTTCTTGCGGACTAGCACTACAGGAGAAGCCCAAGGACTGCAGGATGGCTCAATGATGTCCTTGGCGAGCATTTTGTCGACCTCACTTTCGATAATGTGACACCACCGACACCCGATATGGACGCCTATGAATAGGATGCTCAATACCAGTGTTTATGCGGTGGGTCATATCAGTAGCTTTCCCCAACGTACGGCCGCTGAGATCAAAAACGTCGATGTAGGACAGCAGAACCCGGTGGAGCTCGTCAGTCTACTGCAGCGTTAAGTTGGAAGCGATCATCGACGTGATAGCACTGTCGGAGCAAGTGTCAGATTGATGTTGAGCTTGGGGGTCAGAAGGAGCAAAACATCTACCGCATTGTCTTTTAAGGTACAGAGCAACACCAAAGAGATCCCTTGTGGCAGCACTTGAGGTGCCAAGCTAAAATTGACAACTGGGAGGCACGTAGAATTTCCTTCGGTGGACAGAATGGTGTGCGGTAATGTAATGCCGCGGTTTACGAGGGCATCATTGATAGGGGTCAAAACATAGTCACCGTCAGGAACTGGTGGTATTGAGACGTGCTCTACGTAGGTCAGTGTCTGTGGATGGAGGCGTGCATGTCCCATTGTGCAGAGGCGACTCGGCCGTTGTGCAAGAGGTTCTGTTGCGGGCAAGTGTAGACGGAGCATACTGGTCGAACAATCTGTGAGAGCATAACGCGCGGACAGGAAGTCGAGGTCTAAGATTACGTCATGGGGGTATTTATCAAGGACGGTGAAGAGAACAACTGTGTGTCGATCTGCAATGCTTACACGAGCGGAGCACATTCCAATGATAGATGCTATTCTGCCATCCGCAACACGGATGAACTGAGTGGTCGCAGATGTGAGAACCTTCTTGAGCTTGCGGCGAAATTCACTCGTCATCACGGAAAGTTGAGCCCCGGTCGACAAGAGCAGTGACATGTACGCCGTCTACTTGTACGTCTATAAGGTTCCGTTTTGTCTGTATCGTCAAGAGAGGATTTTCTGTCAGTCCGAGCGATGCAGCGCCACCTCCGGGGGCTGCAACACTTAGTTTTCCGTCGGGGAACCTCGTGGGAGGGTGGGGGAAGGCGGTCAGCGGGGCTGCGGAGAACGAGACTGCCGACGTTGGGGGGGGATGAAGAGCGAGAGTAGCGGTGTTCAGTAGCAGGTTCCTGGGCAAAATGGTCGCGGCTGGTCTCATGGCGATAGGCAGGACATGCATAGAAGGGATAAAAGAAGGTTTGTGCAGGAGGACCCCAGCGACGTCTGCAATGGCGAGAAATGTGCCCGATTTGGTAACACGAGAAGCAGACCGGCTTGTCATCGTGTGTTCACCATGGGGACGGATTACGGAACGTTGAGGGAGAGTCTGTCGGGAATGGACGTGCAGGCGTGTATTGGGGCTGGTAGTCAGTGCGTGGAGGCAGTGAGATAGAGTGAATTTCCAAGCTGGCAATTTCCTGCCGGACAACTGCTTGAATGAGGGGCAACATAATTGCAGGAGAGGGGTCAGGGGACGCTGGTCCCACCTTAGCTGAAGCAGCCGCTTCAAGTTTCCGCCTGACGACTCGCGTCAAGTTGTCACAGGCGTCTGGTGGATGATGTCTGTCGAGACACGAGGAAGTCGCAGCGGTGTTCAGAAGGCGCTGGAACTGATGGGAGATGCGCCTACTTTTAGCTTGTTGGAACCGGCGGCATTCTTGAATAATCGCATTAACAGATGACACATTGTTGAATACCAACAGGTTGAACGCATCGTCGGCGATACCCTTTAGAATACGCGCAACTTTGTCAGGCTCGGACATGTTTTCGTCAGCTTGGTGGCATAGTGAGAGGACAGCCTGAATGTAACTAATGTAGGACTTCGTGGAAGATTGTGCGCGAGTCGACAACTCATTCTTCACAGCTTCACGACGACCAAAGGGGTTGCCGAAAAGCTCACGTATCTTTTCCTTGAAGCTGTCCCAGCTTGTAATGTCATGCTCGTGGTTGTCAAACCAAACACGAGAGGTTCCGTCGAGATAAAGGATTGCGTTTGCGAGCATAAGTGTAGAATCCCACCTGTAAGTGGCGCTGACGCGTTCGTAGAGGCGTAGCCACTGGTCGTTGTTAGAACCCTCGTGGCCCGAGAACACGCCAGGGTCTTTGAGGGCGAGAAGCGTCACGAAAGTTGTTGTTGGCGCTGGGTTGACAGGACGGGCAGAAGGGCGGGCGACCGGGGAGGATGTAGCCAAGTTTTGAGTGGTCATGTTGAAAGCTGCGAGGTAGCGTCCACTTCGGAGTTCCGTGGAGAGGAGGGGGATCGCACAACTTCACCAAATATGTTACGAGAAGGAGACCGACTCGGAGGGGTAGTCACAGATGTATTTACAGCCAGTTAAGCGAGCCGCGCCAGCCACAAAGATTAGTTCGTGCCAGTCTATATGCTTTTTCTTCTTCAACTCCATGCACTGGTACGTAGCAGTACATTGTTTTGTGTGAATTTTAGTAATTCATGTTATTATGTAAATTAATATCAAACTGGTCGCCGCCAGGTACTCCCTACCAGTCCATACGTAGAAAATGCCAGCTATGCGCAACCTGCAGGACCAAAATAGTTTTTTTTTATTCCATTTCATTATGAACTGTGTCAGCTTTAAGTCATATGTAAAAAGAATGAATTATTAGGCCTTGAATGCCTGCACAGTTCATCTTTTGCCTGCATTCATTTCAAGCAAAGAAAAAAAACCCTTGACGCTAGTCCTGGAACGTGATAACGTTTCCAACAAAGTGATCACCTGCAGCAATATGCTGCCTTATGAAGTGAAATGACCACTACTTGCCCGCTCAGGAAGTCTGCACAAATGTGCACAATGAATTTCAAGCCAGTTGAAGTAACACACGGTGCATTACACGCCTTTGAAGCTGATGTGTACGATTGTACACACAGCTACTAATGAGGATATCACTTGGGTAGACTAAAAAAATATGTACAGCCCCGCTCACCTTCCCACTAAAGGATTCTTGGCAGAAACTTCTGTCTTCTTGGGTCCATCGGCTTGAATACGGAGGTAGCGGCAACCGCGTATAATGTTCTCCACCGCTGCTTGAAGATGGCTGTGCAGTAAATTCCACTCGGTGCCATTTAGGTGCTCCAAATAGCGCCTGAACTCGGCACAGCACCTGTCGATCTGAAAGCATGCACTTGCTAGTGAGAGCTTTGGCATATGGGAGACTGCATGATCAGGTGTCACAGTGACCATGGAGTTTCCTACAATACTATTTACTAGAGAAACACTGGTACTGTGATTGTTTGCCCACCATAAGAATGATTGGTAGCACACGAATTTGCCTAGTTTTCGTGCTTGCGACTTTGAACATACTTGCAGCTTTGTTTATTCTTGTGTATAGCCGTTTGTTTCTGGTAAAAGAATAAGCCATAATGAACTTCCTGAGTTGATTGAAACTGGTATTATTTATGACTGAAATCCCAGCTTGACATAGACTCACCTGCGAAGGTTCAACATACCATCACTTTTGTTCAAGTGGGCTTGGAACATCCATTCTTCTTTTCTTACACTTAGTACTCATTGTAGGATATGCTTAATTTATGATACTGTGAATTTTAGTTTAAACTGAGAGAACAAAGAGGCACTGGAAATTTCTGATATATTAAAAACAAAATATTATAAAAATAACTGCATATCTAAAATCTACTCAGAAATACACATGAACTAAGCAAGTTTCATCCCAATCGATGAAGAATTTAAAAAAGATATATTCAGTATGCATGAATATTTTGCAACCGGCAAAAAAGAAAAAGGAAAAACCTGTTAATATCAATGAAGCAATTGTTTTGCTAATTTTGTAGAGCCTCTCTTAAAAAAGTGCTTCAGGTCCCACGTCCAGGCCTCAATCGAAATCAAATTAATGAACTCTTACTGCATTTCCACTGTTCCAGCTCACAGCCTAATATCTGATTTTTCTGGTTGCACTTCATGCAAAAACAATATGATGAGTGATCAAACTGGCACCAGGCATCTTGTTTTGTGAAGTACATGTACCACACACTTATTATTTTCACCATAGGTGTGCGCAGGGGTGGCCAGCACGGTCTGCCTTAGTCACCCTATCAGGGGGCAGGGCATGAAGTCTGCTTCATATATTGACTTAATAGGAAGGGGGGGGGGGGGGGGGGGCACTGCAACAAACCATGACCCCAGCTCACACCCAGCACACACTTCTATTTTTCACTGCAAGGATATGAATATCTACTTAAAATGAACTTGTAGGCTATTGGTTGGTCATATTTACGATAAAAATCGGCACACACTGGGATAAAACAATTTTCGTATTCTGTGTGTCTTAATCTGGTGTGCACTACCATTTACCATAGATATGAATAGTATCTGAGTGGCCAGGTCAATCGTACCCGATCAGGGGCATCATGGCTGCTAGGATCCCAATTGCGATTGAAGATCTGCAGAGCGTTCTTCATGTCGATGGTGGAGCTGTTGCGCCGGTACTCCGGATCACGCAAGATTTTTAGGCTGCCACCGTCGGGAATAGGACCGCTATTTGGCTGCCCCTTGTCTGGAAAACAGTGACATTTGTTGAAAGTGTAGGGCTTCAAATAATGCTCTATGTTAAAATTGTAACCATATTCTGCTCAGTTTTATTATGTATTAAACCACAACTACGCGACAATATTTGTGAGCACTAACAAAAAACAGTGCCAGGGAAAGTATAAGAGAAGGTGGTAGTAGTAACTATAATTCAAATGTGTAGAAATTAATGTGGACAAAAAATAGCTTGCTGCTGGCAGGGACTCGACCTATGACCTTCGAATAACACGTCCGATGCTCAACCTACCAAGCTACAGCATGGGTGAGTGTGGAACACACTGTCTGCCTCTCTTTGACAGGCAGAAAAAAAAGACTATTCCACACTCGCCATCATTGCTACTAGCGGTGCTGGCTGACACTTCCAGGTTTAAATACACATATACACCCCATGAAGTGGACAGGGGAATGGCTAGAGCTGTAGCTCAGTTGGTAAAGCATTGAAAGCATTAGTCAAAGCACACAGGATCGGTCCTTGCCAGCAACAAGTTATTTTTTCATTTATTACTAGATATAATGTTACGTATAAAAGATACAGACACAGTAGAGACGACGTAACATACAGGCAAACCCACTTCAGTCGAAACTCACTACAACTAACACCACTTCAACAAAATTTCTGCTGCTATGAAAAATTTTTAGTTCCCCCATCAGGAATACATAGGAGTCAACCCATAAATATTCTCGACACAACAAACACTTCTTCTTCTGACGTTCCACTTCAATGAAATTAGACTATGCAATTTCAGGCTCAGATACTTAATACCATGAAGTAAACGCAACCTTGAGCATTTTGATGCATTTTGAGAAAATAAGATTATCTCAAAAAAGTATACGAGGCTCATTGGCACCACCAGAAACCGCCGCTGTTTACTAAACACAGGGCTGCCATTCCTCGATAGCGACATCAATGAGTGCCTGCTTTATGTCACTGGCTAGCTTTTGAGCCACAGACTATCCGAAGCTGAAGCTCAGTCGCTCAGTTCATAGTTTCCTACACACAACTATTGGGTGCATTCATGGAATGATGCTTTAATTTGCCATTTTTTGATGCCAGTGCTTGTGGCTCATTTCGCGCGTGGCCAGAGCGGCCGTGTTGTCAATAAAATCAGCCAGCCGCAACTAGTTGGTGATAAGAGTAGCATAGAATAAAGCATAAGTTACCGTGCCACAATACCACGCCTTCGTCTCGGCACACTTTGACGGCAGACTGGTGTTATCATGCAAGTTCAACTGTTAGGCTCGTCCACTAAAGTCATTGTGGCCATTGTTTCAGCATGCTTTTCATCATGGTGGCGCTGTGGGTTACTGAGAATCGCATTGCAAAGCTGCTGGCGAAGAAAAGGAAGCAACCGGCACTTTTTTAATTTTAGGAATATAATTTCATTTGTTTTGATAGCTCAGGTCATCAATAATTTTTTTTAATTTCACTACAACCCAATTCTCAATTAAACAAAATTCTTTCCAGGCTCCGTCAGTTCCGTTGTAGCGTGGTTCGACTGTGGATCAATACCAACAGGCCCAAACAGCAACCTTGGTGACGTACATTACAACTAGTACCAAACACATCCTCTATACTTTCCTTGACCTCATTGTCAGTTAGTTCTCATAAATATTGCATGCGAGAGAGGAAAATGAACCCCTAAATTCTTTCCCTCACTAGTAGAGTGACCCCATACTCACAGGCTGTGCAACAAACATATCTGGTTAAGTGTCTAAGAGTATACTGATCTGCCTACCAATGATTTTCTTCCTGAAGGTGTCAACAAGGCCATCCACATTGATGGTGAAGAACTCGTGCAGCTGCATCAGCGGAAGCCAGTTCAGGTCGAAGACGCGTCTTAGCGCCTGAAACAACAAGGTGTACACACTGTCTTCCTTGGGGACGCTCGATTCAGTCACTACTGGGGCTGAAAAAAAAAACTCATAGAGAGTTTTTCTACCAGCAGAATGTAAAGAAATGTTCTTTATCACAAGAGCTGTTATTCAATACACAAGATGTCCCATATATCACGCAGCATGATTCAAAAATAGTGAAACGTCATCATGTGAAGCACATCTAGTGCATATCCATCCCAGTATACTGCAGTAGCCACTATTAATTTTTTTTGTTAATGAAGTTTAGTTAGTTGGTCCAAATTATATTGCTAGCTCAACAAGCACTTACCTAATAATTAAAACTCGATGAGAAATATGTAGGCATGCTCAGATAACATCTAAATGCACTATTTTCAATCATGTACTAATTGCATACTCTTTTTTTTCTGGCCGTGAAATCTGAAAAATTGCATGTTACTATACTGCAGTGCAATTCAGGAAGCAGACCCCTCAAACAGGATTACTGTAAGGTAGCAAGTCATGACAACAGTCCTACCTTTTGGGGGTGGGAGCATAATCACATGTTACTTTTCATATTTCATGTAATTTTTTATCAGCCAGAAAATAGTGACACAACTAATTAATTTATCCATTTATTTGTTCATTTATTTATTGGTATTTGAGGTGCTAATGAGGGGTGGGTATAACTATTACATGATGGTTTCTATTGATGCCTCGAAGGAAGTATGGCTAGAGTGGTGCACCATGTTGGCAGGAATGGAATGGAATGTAAAAACTTTATTTCAGTTCTGCAGGACGCGCTTAGCGGGCATATCCCACATAGGGACTGACAGGGAGTCAATTCCAGTTCTTTCCAGTCACTTCTTATCTAACCCCTAACAATTTGTATAAGCTAACCAACACTCCTCTTCCTTATCTTCTATTGCCTCCGGCTTGCCACAAGGCACTGTTCTGTGACCGTTGCTTTTAATATACATTAACGACTTACCTAATGGTTATACTTCTAAAATTCATTTGTTTGTTGATGACTGTGTAATTTATCATCCTATACTTACAACGATGACATCCTCACCCTACAGTCTGACCTTTCTCTCATAGAATCCTGGTGTAACAAATGGCTAATGTTTCTAAACGTAAGCAAAACATCCTTTCTAACTTTTCATTGCCATCAATCATTCATTTCTACTAAATACATGATGACAGGTGGCTCGGAAATGAACGCTGTTTCATCATACAAATACCTTGATGTTAATTTATGCAATAACCTTGCTTGGTCGGTTCATATCTCTAACACCACAAACTTGGCTAATCGCGCGCTTGGCTATTTGCGTCGTAACCTGTGCCTTGTTCCTCCCGCGGTGTACTACTAGCATACTTAACACTTGTTCGGCCAAAACTTGAATACGCTTGCTCAGTTTGGGACCCACATAAAAATAAGTTCTAATCCGCACTGGAATTCATACAAATTTCTGCAACTAGGCTTGTTCTTTTGGATTATTTTTACCAGTGTCATCGAACTCAGGTCATGTCTTCATCTTCAAACCCTTGAGCAGCGCCACAAAACTGCCAGATTATGTCTTTTTTTAGAAGTTCTATCGCCTTTTACATCAACAGGCTACTATCGAACCATGGCTTCGTTCTTCATCCCGTCATGACCACCCAAAAGCAGTTTAGCAGCCCGCACTACAGCCCACATGAACTCAATTTTCGTTCAGACTGCAAAGGACAATTAGTATGTTGCTAACAAATTGCATAGTTATATGTAACTTTAACATGCCTAGATTAACATTTCAATCAATAAGTGAGTACCTCTCAAGTTAGAAACATCATTAGGACTAATTACTTAAATTTAATTAACAAAAAAATGACAGGACCCTGAGCTTCACCTTTAGGAGTTGAACACAATAGCGAAATCCTGTTCGTAATGTGTACTTCAGACACTTTGTGCATGAAACCTTTTCGAATCTACTACGCACCCACTTATATGTAGCCTTAAGGGAATAGACGCAGTAGCATGTGTGAATTTTGTAGTGGGGTAACGAGTTTCGACCACAGAGCCATTATGATAATAGTAACATATGCTGAAGCCCGTTGGCAACAGGTGCTCGAGCACGCATTATAACTCCAACATTTCATGCTGCATTTCAAAGCATATATACATGTCGTGTGTTTATAAAGCATGAAAGCTACTTTCACTGCATTTCCAAGCAGAGCAAGTTTCTTTCAGTTTACACAAGCAGAGGCATGGCCGTGTGGTAGAACATCCACTTGCCACGCAAACAACACTGGTTCGGTCCCCACTGTGCTCCAGAGTTCTTTTATCATTTATTTATTTTATTGGCATCATTCTCGATTTTTAGGTCACGCATAAGATGATTTCTTGCTCACAACCAACGAAGCTGACACCAACACCGGCAATGGAATTTCTGTGAAACGAGCTCCTTAATGCTATTGAGTTAAAAAATTTGCAGTGGATACTACAGTATCCTAGAAGCAATTTGCACTCGGTGTGCTTGACGCAACGATGATCTTGTAATCAGGCTGCATGCTATTGGGACACCTTGTACAGAGTACTCATGGATTGAAAGGCAACAACTTAGAGCTAAGCAATGCATGTACAATATTTTAGAACCGAAACAACATGAATATTTAGGACAAAGTGTTGCACATACTACTTTCATTTTCATCATCTTCAGTTTGGGTCATTGGCATTATTCAGAGTCAAATGCATAAACCAACATAAACTTTACAGATCAAATTCCTTGTGACGTGATTTTCTTGAGCAATAGTGCTCACCAGTCGTTATGCCAAAACAACTTGTTGCACTTCAATCTATGAGCACTGTATATACTTTTGTTTCCAGTCCTCAGTTCATGCCACATCGGTGCAATTCGGACTAGCACCTAAGAGTGCCAGTCCAAAGTTGGTTTCATTGGTTTCAGGTGGCTTCACTACAAAGGAGGGGTGTATAACATGCTTCACTGCAAAAGAGGGGGGTATAACATGAATACATTTTTCCAAGGAAAGTCCGCACTGTCGCAAAGCCCCACTTCAAGGTTGATTAACGAACATATGTATAAACCCCCCTCATGGCACTTCGTAATTGTTTAAGTTTAAGAGCTTGTTATACCAGCTTATATGCTTTGAGAATAGTTACATTTTAAAGTATTTTACAGGTTATCACTTGTATTCCATTAAAAGTCAAATCCTGCTACTATTCAGAGGAACTTCTACTTCCCTTTGAAGCAAAAAGAATATATTGTGCAAGTTAGTTGGGTTATGACAAATATACGCATTATTTCGATAAGATGTGATATATGAACTATTTGAAATTATTTAACTAAATCACTATTTGCTTCAAATTCACTTCGAACCTAAATTCTTAGTTTGCCTAACAAATATAAATAGTCAAAATCAATCAAGAGTTCTAAAAAGAAGAAGACCAGCGTCGGGCAGTTTGACGTACATCGAGGTGCTCCTCTCGTGTGATGGATGCGGGGATTCCCTCGGACGCCCACTTGCCTGTGGAGATCTCAAGGCTGAAACAGTGGATGGCCACATCCAGGAGGAAGGCTGGCTTGAGATGCGGCGAGTTTTTTAGATTGTACGCACACTCTGGATGCTCCCTGAGCCAGGCAGTCTCATTGGCCGTGTGGTTTAACACAACATCTGTCAATGACAACATCTGGGGGAGACAGTGCAAAACGTGCATCACCACTCTTGCATATGCGCCTCTGTCAATGAATATCAGGGGGAAAAAGTTGCAAACACCATCTGAGGACGAAACAGTTAAAAAGTTTTAATGTGCTTTCCAGAAGATGTTGTATCTTTTTGATGTGCAAATGAATGTGTCTTATATTCCTTTGTTTGTTTAATTACAAGAGAGACAGCTTGAGAAGAATTCTCATTTTGCATGTTGGTACTGGTTCATAACTGAGGATACTTTTGGTGCTAACTGAACGAGGACAGAAAACCAAAAGAACAAGATGACCACCCAACTTACAACAAATTTCACTCCACAGTAGAAAGAAGATTTTATAGCACAAGCAAACCACACGACGATGTGTGCATGCACCTGCCACAATTATCTCGGAAGTACTTCTAGTGAATGCGATTGAGAGAGAGACAGCAGTGGGATGTAGCAGAGCCAACACCCTTTGCATCATGTCGTTGCTTCCTTTCGAGGAAACTAAATCCCTGCTTGCTAATTCTACCTGTTTATTGCTGCACATCAATGCACGTAGCTTGCCAAAAAACTATGACATTATTGCTTTTACTGACTTGCACTGTCGTTCCTTTTCGCTTTTATGTGTTACTGAAACATGGCTAGGATCTTGCGATGGTAATCTATGGATTTCGATTGTATAACTCTGAATATTGTCACCGCGATTCGGGTCGCTATAGGGGCTCGGCTATCTTTATATCATCTGAGATTAAATACAAACGCAGGTCTGACCCATCTTTAAATGTTCTGAACTGCGAATCAGTATAGATCGGGGCTGACTTTCCAACTTCCAGTAGTCTGAATAAAGTGATTATTGTGTGCATTTACTGATCCCCATCTTCATCTATTCCGCATTTTCTACACAATCTAGCTGCTTCCCTCAACATTGTCACTGCTGAAAATAAGCAAGTTGTTCTAGTTGGTGACATCAATATTAACCTAATCGATACAGATAATAACAGTACCATAGCATATAGTGATTGCTTTTTGGCACCCTAAGGGTGCTGCTAAGCCACTACTTCCAGATCCAGGTTACTGGCGCTTTCACTGCTAGGCAACACTGTCTCTTTTGACCTTCTTCGTTCCACACTCTACAGCACAATGCCGCCTCATCTTTCATCTGGAGCTTTCAACCACGGCTCGCATTGCACACCACGAGCCTTTCTGTGACCAATCACGTGGCAGGAGCGCATACAATCGAGTACTTTTCTGTGGCTCCATACACCATTACTACTCGCAGACCTTCCGCATGTACCTTGTGCTCCTATATTCGTGACAGCATCACAGCTTTTTTTGACAACCAAAGAACTTCAACATGCTGCTGAGAAAACTAATCTTTTTACTTTGAAAGAATAATGATTTGAGGCCTTCTGTTTCAGGAAGCTGAAAGCCTCAAAGTCATATCTGAACTGCTGCACGAAGGTTGCTACAATTTTTCGGACATAACAGTTTCGCTCACTTCCACAGCGCACACTTGTTGGGCATACTATACCCGCGGCAGGAAAGGCCTATCAATTTATCAAAGTGCTCATTCGAAAGTTATAAAAAGACGCATTGCGACCATGTGCTAAAAGCAGTTTGTCCAAAAACGTGCATTCATAAAGTGACAGCTAGTGTCGTAGCACAGCTCAGCCGGAGAAGGAAGCTGGATACCCTTCGGATTTGATATCCAGCGTTAGTGATACAGCCTTGAAGCAGATGACACGCCCAGACGATGCCCAGAGAAGAACAAGAAAAAAAGAAGAAAAAGAGAGCATGCTGTTGCAAGTGGTTCAATATATTCATGCTACATCACACAATCTGAAAAAGATAGCATCCCACTATGGGGTCCATATCGCACTGTCAGTGCCGTGTTGACTCTCTGCTTCGTGCCCCATGATGAACAGAAAGAAGGAGATGATTTGTTCTACAAAGCATGCAACAGTTTTTATTTATTGAGTGCACCACCTCTGGAGTTGTGTACCTTACTCCATTGAGTTGTGGGAAGGAATATATGCCAAACTGGCAGTGTTTCAACGACAGGGCCAGACAATGCCGTCTCAATGTAAAAAATAGTTCTGGCTGCCTGATGGAAACACATCGCAAGGTGAGTGGATGCTACCAAGGTTCACTGAAGCATCGTTTATAGGCAGAGAAAAAGAAAGGTGGAGAGAGTGGCGTGTTACATAAGGCCAAGAGACGACGCCCGCGTCTGTACAGCTTCGCTTTTCCTTCAAGATAAAGAGATTAGATTTCTGAGCAGCACATTGTGGTTCTTTGGTTGTTAAGAAAAACTGCGACGCGCACACATTGTCACATGGATTGCTTGTGCTATAAAATCTTCTTTTCATTGTAGAATAAAATTAGTTGCAAGCCCGGTAGCAATCCTGTTCCTTTGTGTTATGTGTGCTTATTCAGTTTGCCCTAAAGGTATCTTCGGTCATGAACCAGCACCAACTAGTTTAAACCAGAATTATGCTAGGGTTGTCTTCCCTGTGATAATTCCTTTGAGGCAAGGCAAGTATACTGTAAACAAACAAAAAAAAAACAAATCACCAAATATCGCATTTACTCGCGTAATGAATACACTCGCATAATAAATGCGCCCCCAACTTCGATCGTCAAAATTTGGATTTTCTTTTTCCTGCGTAATTGATGCACCCCTTACATTCATCCACTGCAGTCCCAAAAACCGACACCTGGCACCTTCTTGTCTGTTAGGTCTTTTCAGTTTTTTTATTATTCCAAACCCCAGAGGCTCGCTACTTCCCCCCTTTGCCTGCTGTCATGCACAGTTTTGTTTCTCTTTCTATCTTTGCATCGTAAGTCCCCTGTCTTCTTTTAATTATCCGTGCATCACAGCAGGGTTCACGAATAGGGCAAATACAGAGACATCGCAGTTGGTGAGCACACAGCGAGCAGAGGTCACGAAACTGCCCGTGCCAACCATAGAGCTGCGTTAATAGTCGCTTCCGGCAAATACAACTACATGCACGCGACTTTTGAGCGACGACGACAAAATTAGCTGTTGCCATGGCTGTCTCAAAAGGCCATTCTTTAGTGCAATAAGTATTCCAAGTTAAGAGACAGCTTTAGTAACAATTTGTGGGGTTTAACGTCCCAAAAACCACGATCTGATTATGCAAGACGCCGTAGTGGAGGGCTCCGAAAATTTCGATCACCTGGGGTTCTTTAACCTGCACCCAAATCTGAGCACACGGGCCTACAACATTTCCGCCTCCATCGGAAATGCACTTTCTCGGAGTGGCCAAGCCTAGCAAAAACATTGAATGGTTCTGGCATGTAGGTGTGGGTATAAATGCCTGTTTGGTTACAAAAGGCGAAAAATTTTAAATCCTGTAATTTTTTTCTTCTATGCGTTGCTTTATATCACCTCCTAAATGTACCCCTAATTACCCTGAGACTACACTGCGCGCTCTTGCGATCCTTGCCAGCATTACTCACTTTCCATTCATCACACATCATGTTGACCAGTTGCTCCACGTCCGTCATGTCGTATGTGTGATCTGGCATGCTGAACATGGGATTAAGCTTGCGATGGTCACGGAGGGAGTAGGAAGAATGGGAGGCCCCGAGCTCCTGGATGGGCGTGAAGTGGACAAAGTTGTAACCACTCTCACGACTGACTGCGAGCTTGTCCTTCCAGCTATCAAAGTGGCCTAGGCACTTGGTCAGCACTGTCTGGCACTGGATACAGTCCAAGGGCAGCACCTCCCGATCCTTGCCACGATGAAGCACAGGATCAACAAGAAAGTAACCCGACCCAGCTTGTTCATTTCTGCGCACACCACATCATGGGCATGTAAGTTTCGATTTAGCCAAACAAATATGACCAGAGTTACCAGATTCTGCCAAGTTAACAAGCAAATAATCATCTCAAAAGAAAACCAAAAAGTGCACGACTTTTGCCAAAAAGCTTGAAAGAAGTGGGTACTTCATTAATTCTCTCATTCTTGACAACATTCTTTAAGTGCAATAAGAAGTCGCTCAAATACGAAAAGAAGGCAAAAAAAAATCATATCTATTCAGTACAGTAAGCATACGCACAACTACGAGCGAAAGAACGTATTTACTTTTTAACATAGCCTCAGGGTAGTCAGTCTCCACTCTTCTTAATTATTCATGCACATTTGCCAGCGCATGAATAAATTTATTGAATACTTCAGTGCATGTTTGATTACAACACCAAGCTATACAAAGTCCTCAATAAAAGCTCTATCACTGAATGTGAGAAGTGCTAAAATAAGTTTCTAATAATAAATAAATTTGTAGAGAAAGTATGAATAAAACAATAAAAAGCAACAATCAATGAAAAAGTTTTCAAGCAACTTGGTAAAAAAAACAAGCCCGATTCTGCTTATTATAAGCAGAACTGGCAACTCTGAATATGTTTGACCTTCAAACCATAGTGTTTTAAAAATACACTAGAGAAAACTCTGGCACTAGTGTCTATGGAAGCTGCAACACACAGCACTTCAGTGAGCATGGGAATGATGGGTAGAGCATAGATTTGTCTAATCTTCATTCTTCTGGCTTCGTTTGACTTGGTGTAGTTTGGAGTGGCTTTGTCACGAAACCAAAATGAGCAAATGTTTAGAAATTGCAGTTCACTACCTTAACCATTTAGCCTCACCATTTGAAATTTGCTCACAATGTTCAACCATCCATTCTTTCACCTGAAACAAAAGCAAAACACAGTAATAAACAAAGCCACGAGTGCCTTCGAAGCCCGCAAGCACAAAAGCAAATTAGAGCACTACCCATCATTCCCATGGTCGCTAAACGATTGCAGCATTAGAGTCCCCTCTAGTTAATTTTAGGAAACTCTATGCATCAAACATAGTCATAGAGTCATAACCAGAGCCCTTCACTAACAAAAGTTGCAGAACTACCCACAGGTTCACTCCATGTATGAAAATCTAGACCATCAACCAAAAATTGCAAAGGCTTCCCAATCGTAGAAAAAGCCTGCAAGCGATGCCATGTTGATCAAACAAACAGTGTGTTTGGAGTTTAACATTTCGCAGACGCGATTGTGGCCACAGTTCTTTTCTACCTTTCTTGAATTACTTTTCTTAATTCTTGCCATCCCAACTTGCGCAATGACCGTGATGACTGCACAGCCCTGATAATGTTATAGATTCTATGTTATTGCACTAATGTGGCACTTCAGTTTGTTATACTCAAAAAGTTTGCAACTTACCATGAGGGTGTATTGGTTAGACTTGAAGGTCGCGAGATCTGATTACAACTATGGCGACCGCATTTCAATGGAGGCAAAATGGTAGAGGTCCACATGCTCAGATGTAGGTGCACTTTAGAAAACCCCAGGCGGTTGAAATTTTCAGAGCCCCTCATGTAGAATTTCTTATAATTATGTAATGGTTTTGGGAGTCAAAGCCCTAGAAATTATTATTATTATTATCTGAAAATTTTGTCTATGTTTATGTCCCCATTCTAAAGTTTGTTGTGCAACTGGTTAGATCTAAGGTTAGAACAACGCAAACAAATAGACATAGAAGTGTTGCCAGCTGTGGTATGATGTGCCCGAGACAAAGAAACCATTTTTTACAGAGAGAAGCACAGAAAATGCATGCTTTTAATCGAGCTCTATGATACTAAGTGTGCCTAATTATTGTGGCAAATTAAGCATGCCTAATTAAGCTTATTCTGGTACAGTGAGATCAGGCAACACTAAAGTACTTATAATGCTCTTTCACCCCAGAAAGCACTATATGCTCTGACGCCAGCAATACACAAGGGCGATTTTCAGCATAGGAAGGGCCGTTTGGTGATGTGACAAGGATGTCGGTGGCTGAACCTTCCAAATGGTTTGACATGCCTAGTTGCACGTAGAGTAACTGCATATGGTCCCTATGGGACACGGTAGCGCAACTGTTTTCCAACGCCGCCGGCGCCACCAATAACCATGCATTGGGGAGGAGCTGATGCTCAGGCCAATTTCGTATTTTCCGCCGCCGCTGCTGCATTGCGGCGGATCATCGCCAGTCAAGTTAAAAGTGAATCCGGCTGGTCTTCCGCACGCATCCATGAACCGGCTGGTTCGTGGATGTGTGCGGATGACTGTGGATCAACTCTATGTGCGCACCACGTCTGCAGTTCTACCATCACAGCCATCAGAATGTTACAATGACTGGGTAAACTGGTAAAGGATGTTTTTCCAGCTGCTGAGTGCTCCTTCGTTAGTGGTGTACATGCTAAACGAGAACTGCACTTTTCTTTGTTACACATTCATATCTGTTCAAAGGGAGCCAGATTACCTATCTTCATGCAAGAAAAATATATTTATTCTCCGCTGATGTAGCTACAAGAGCACAGTTGTGAAAGTCACTGAATATTACAGCAAAAGCTCTTATGAGATCACAAGGGTGACTCCGGCACCGCAGATGTTCATTACCACCGGTGTCCGGGATCACTATTGTATAAAATTTAAAAAAGAAAAAAAACATATATTTCTTACTTGGGAATCGAACCCGAGTCTTTTGCATGGCCGCAGAGTACTCTACCGCAAAACTTATGACAAAACTGTGAGCTGTACTCTAAACTGACTTTATGTAGGCTGTCTATCAGGTAATAATTCGCGTTTACGTGTAAAATCAATTGTTTTAGAACAGTGAAGTAACAATCGTGCGTCACACAACACAAATTATGCAAAGAGTGCACCGTTATGCTCTTACGCACTTCAAAAGCCATTGGGTTATATTCACCGTGACTAATTTGGCAATTTCATGTATTGTCAAGGTCAGTGAATGTCACATCTTTCACCAGCGTAATGTGAATACGAATGCTTCAGCTCGTTATCCGGTCAAAACTTCTTAAAAATTGCGAACTAAGAAGTTGAAAATGTTCACTCTTCACTTTTCGTCCCACGCTGAACAACACGTCGTTTTTTTTTTTGTTTTTTTTTGGCCACGCAACTTGTTCAGCTCTTACGTTGCACTTTGTTGGCAGTCGGGCAGAAAAGCTGCCTTCAAACACTGCAAACAGTGCTTGAAGAACGCAAGCCAAGCTAGTATGTCAATATGCAGCACGGCAAAAAAAAAAACACGGCAAGGGTGTTGTCTACAAAAACAGAGGGTGACTTCGCTGCATAGCTGGTTACTAGCCAGGCAAGATGGCGGACCTATGCGTTACTATGGTCCCGCAGGGACCATATACAGTTATTCTAGTTGCAGATAACCTTCACACAGTCTCAGCTAGGCCATACTACATATTGTGAAATAAAAACACATTTCACTTGATCAGACACAAAAGGATTTCTGTTTTTGGTTATATTTTTCAGACAATTGAAACATACACCAGGTGTCTGTCCTGTGCAGTTGGTTTGCAAAGACCACCATGGTGCAACACTTCCGGCATATGTCATAACAAATGCACGGTGATTGAAAGCAATCATAGATGCCACTGGAAGGGTGAAAAGTGAAAAAGAATGTCTAGTCATTGTCTACTTGGGTTTCAAGAATATGAACACTAGTTTTCATTCATCAATTTCAGAAGTTTTTTTTTTTTTTTTTACTCGCATTTCTACTGGTATTCACTTGGCTCAAAAAATCTTCAGGAACTTGGTATTTCAAATCTATGACCCCCCATAGAGGTACATCTACTTCATTTTTACCGACCAGAAGCAAAAAAAAGTTAGCAGACACTGCCAAAGTTTATGGCATCTCAGCATTTGGAGCGGAAATTCCTGGCTGGTATCGCCACTTACACTATCCTTTTGTATAGTTTCTCGCTTGCCAAGCATCTTCTTACAGCAAGAGTGATGATTTTGAAATTGTGAAAAGAGATTTTACTAAAATAAGAAAACTTTATTTTCTCTTCAGTGTCCTTTTAACAAATCCAACAGAGATAAGATATTGTTCATAGCCATAAACATCATTATTTAGTGCAATTAGTCAGCTCTAAGAAGCCAACATTAAAATTTCTAAATTTATTTTAGAGCCGATGTAAAGGCACCCTGTGTTGCAACTTGTTTTTTGCTTTACTTTGTATGTTTCACTGGGCTTTCTATAAAGTCTAAACAGAGTGTGAGGCACTCCACTGTATGGTGGTAAAGAAAGACACTACTGTTTTTGTGTAGTGCTTGATGTTTTTTAACTTCTCACTCATTTTTCCCCATCCTTGATGCCCCTTTTTCGTTCAAGGCTACATGCACATTTTTGAGACTTCTGCATTTTTATCATGCCCAGCAACTTTGGACATGCCTCACCAAACACATCCAGCGACTTCAGTGCTCGTTAACCCAATATACCTTTCAGCAGCTATGTGTAACACGCCAACAAGGATTGTGCAGCACTGTGAGCACTGTGTGTTTCCTTAAATGCAGCTTGAATATTTTTGCGGCCTTGCTGAGTATAAAAGTAGGGGTAATTTAATGTCATTGTGTTGCGTACTGCTGCAGAAGATCACTTTGTTGCAGACACCACCATGTTCCATAATTGTTCAACGTGACATAATCGGAACAGCGGCAATAGTAATATTTTTCTTTGCTCGGAACAAATACAACAAAGAAAACAAAGTAGGCATGCATTTTGAGACGAATATTACATTCTTTTAATCTAAACATTAAACCTAACGCTGGTGTAAGAATAATCAGGTGTTGACACTGGGCATGCCTGAGCACCCTGATAATACTCGGCCTTGCGGACGCGCTGTGCTGCGAGCCCCCAGGTGGCGCCACGGCCAATGCACCCAGCAAAGCAGTGCTGGCGCATTAAAATTCATCTGCCTGACAAACGTTTTTGCTCCAAACAGTGTGATTAACACTCAAAGAACGAATAAAATTTGTTGTTTCAGATTAAAAGATTAAAGTTTACCAGGTCTAAGGATTCATTAACATGAAAATAGCTTGTGCAGGGCATTAAAAGTCGTCAACATGGATCGATCTGGAAGTGCTCGAAGCTAAGTTCTGCACTAGTATTTTTGTCTGTTCACGGCATTTCTCGCAGATACAAAGTAATAAAAAAAAACGTTATACAGCGTGCTATTGCTTTATCAAAATATTTTCCCGTGGGGAAGAAATGCAAGAAACTGCTGCGTGCTTAGATTCAGGTGCATGTTAAACAGACCAGGATGGCCAAAATTAGTCAGGAGCCCTCGAATACGGTACCCATTGAAATCAAATTGTGCTTTTGATGTGTCGACCCCCAGTAATGATGATTATCCCCTAACTAAAGAGAATAGTTACTGCAATAGAAAGGTATTTTATTCGTATCACTGCTTTTCTCTACACAGGCAGTCATTGAATCATAGTTGTGCTTGTTACATGTGAATGTGATATAAGGCTTGCATGTTTCAAATATTTATATTTGAAACATGCTTCATATGGAATGCTTGCGTGTTTCAAATATTTATATTTGAAACACGCAAGCATTCCATATGAAGCACACAAGAGCGATGCAGTTGTTCCACGAAATATATAAATAATTAAACCAAGTAAGTCTTTCATATACAGCCCACTAAAGCAATGCGGCTGTTTATGCCTAGATGTTACTATGCGAATTCACATATTTACATCAACGATCATTGTCAGGCGTCATTTTGAAGAGAGGCACACGTTCGCACAATTCCGATAGCCAGAACGAAAGTTCAGTACAAAGCACATTCTACCCCTTTTGGGAAACTCTCAGGAGTTTGATGTTACCTTCATTGATAGATCAAACACATGTAAACAAAAAAACCTGGCTTAAAAACAGCATTGTCACACATGCCAACATTGAACGAGAAGACCCAGAATCAGCATGCGCATTTGCGCTGAGCGTGCTGCCGAGATGGCTGACCCCGCTCGTCATAGCGCCATCTAAGAAGGCACCAACGGAGCTGCAACATAACTGATAACGGCCTGAACATTATCTGGACGCACTGGGATTGTGCCTTTTAATGCGTTGCGGGGAGAGAGTCAGCCCTTTTATATTCTTACACCGTTAACCTGACTGACTACAAATATTTAGATATTTTATTAAATGCAAATTAATATTAATTATTGTAGCTCACACAAAACGACACATTCCTGCATTTTCATTCTTGGAATGTAATACTATCGAGTACCTTAGAATATGCTTTTCAAATTTTATTAATTTGTAGACGGTGCAACATTGAAGGGGATATAACTGTTACCTAAAAAAAATGCCCCCACCCAATTGAACTATCGGACCAACCGAATCACCGTGTGATTGACTGATTGGCAAAATGGAGAAAAAACAGCTTTCACATGATGTGCAACTTCTTAAATAACATTAATATTCAGTTGCACCAAGGTCCTCCAGACACATCTTCAGAAGCCCTCACGAAGAACCAACATCACATTTTTAAAGTCCTGTGAAATATGTGACGATATCAAGAACTTGTAATTTCACATGCTAAACTTGTTACCAGTGCTTATTTATTTTTTAACAACCTTGTACTAGTGACAAAGGTTTTTATAGTGTCATTCATGCTGTCATTTGCAAATATATGTTAGAGCAGCGCATAAGACTGGCAACAGCTCAAAAGGCAAATGAATGCAGTTGCATTCTGCGTGTGTAGTCTGTTTAGCTTGAAAATGCAATTAAAGTAGTTTTATACAGACAATTAAACTCATAATAGGTTAACGACATGGAGTTTTCTACTATATTTACTAGAGGGAACTCTGGCACTGCAATTGTTCAGCATGATGGGTAATAAATGAACTTGCCTAATCTTTGTGCTTGGGGCTTCGAACTCACTAGTGGTTTCGTTTATTGATGTGTTTTGGCTTTTGTTTCAGATAAAAGAGTGAATCGTTGTGAACTTTGAGAGCTGATTCGACTCAGTATGCCTAAAAAGGTCAAGGTGATGACAAGGAGCTGCTAAATATTTACTGAACTTCATCTTGCGACAAAGCAGCTGGATGCCGCGCAGAGCCAAACAAAGCTGAAAGAATGAAGTCAAAACAAATCCTTGTGCTACCCATGCGGGCTGAAGTGTCGTTACAGCTCCCATAGTTTATGAATGGTAAAAACGCGCTGAAAAAAACACACAACAAGAGCGCAACTTTCAATAGTTTATTTTGTGATCCCAACACTACTGTTACGGCAGAACATGAGCACATCTACTGTGAAAATTCAACAAGAACATTACTAGGCAACATCATGGACACCAAAGAAATAAAATTTTTAGCAGGAGTACTCATGTTCTGCCATATAAGTATTGTTGAGATCACAAAATTAACAGCTAAGTGAGTGCATTTGTGTTGCGTGATAGTGTGTTCATCTTCAGGGAACTCTTCCCATTCATAAACAAGGACTACAAATGAGCCCACATTAATACCTTGGTGAGCTTCCATAGACACTAGTGCCTGATTTCCTTCTGGCGTATTATTGGGAAACCTTACGGTTCATAGACAGAAATAAAACTGTATGGCTTACTCCTCATTGCATGTGAAGTAGTAATGAAAGCTTCCAGCCAGTGTGAATGTGACATCAGCAAAGTATGCCGTCTCATCATTGGGGTTGTGGACGTCATGGCTCCAGTGAACTTGGTTATACTTTGTCCTCGAGTAGCCAGAGCCAGCTACAAGAGGGGTGTTTATGAAGAACTTGACATTTTTGCCATACAGCAAGGGACCCAGGATGAACCGGACTTTTGTACCTGCAATAAAGTTGTCATATACAACAAGACCCAGCAAAATTTACCACAATAGCATTAAAGAGAAGTAACGGACAATGATGCCAAGGAGAGTATTGGGGATTTGATCAGTACTAATTGCAATATACATGTGAAGAAATAAAAGTGGATGAAAAGGTAGCTTGGCACTGGCAGGAACCGAACATGTGGCCTTTGAATAATGCGTCCAATGCTCTACCAACAGAGCTAAAGCGGTGGTCATTTCTCTGACTACTTCATAGAGTATGTATGTGCATTGGAATACATAAAATGTTGCTGCATTAGGTGCTACTTCATCCCCAGCAATAATAAGTACCAAAACCAGGAGCACACTGCGCAGATCATTATATATAAAGTGATATTCATATCCACAGTTTCATTTGAATAAAACCTAACAGCTCAGCTAGTTACCTTTGGAAAGCCGGTAAATAGTGCTTTCCAGGACTCCATTGTTGAGGTGAAAAACATTGATTGGAAGGGCCGATTGTGATGACTCTTCACCGGACCAGTTGGCGATTTGCATGGCGTGCTCTGACAAGCCGTTCGATTCAAATGCTGCGACAAGGTGGGGGTCTGCAAATTACAATTGGGGCAAAACAACACGTCAAAGACAGTTGGTTAGTAAAACCTCAAGCTATAGAGTAAATGGGTGTAGCAAAAAATCATCCACAGGAAATACATCTCTGGAAGGCATGTCAACAGAAGGTTCCACAACTGCTCGAGATGGCCACATCATGTCACTACGAATCTGGCCTCCAAAGATATTGTTGGCTCTATCTACACGCTTGAGATGAAATTATGCCAATATGATCCAAATTTAAGATCTTGCAAACAAAAGGACGGGGATTCTTAGCCTCAAATTGTCCTGTTTCAATCTACGAGCACATCTCTGGAAGGTAACTCCACGTAATGTGTATCCCCAATGATGTATCAGCGCGATGCAGTCTTATCAAGGCACGTCACTGCAACGTCACATGGGCTTAGTATAAATACAAGCTGCTCAATAAACCATCGTTCTTGTAGCGTTATCTGGCTTTCTTGTAGCATCTGGACAGCACCATAACAGTGGCGACGAGCAGACCTGTGCAATCACGAATGCCGGGCAGCCGCTTGAATTCGGAGGGGTGAATGGTACCTGGCCAATGTATCGTGTTCATTTGGAGGCTTACTTTTAAGCTCGTAACATCGCAGACGAAGCAAAGAAACGAGCACTCTTGATATCGTCCCTAACGGACAATGCAGTGGGAGTCGTTCAGGGGCATTGCCACCCAAAGAAGGTCAACGAGCTCAGCTATGACGAAGTTGTCGGGTATCTGGAAGAACACTACACCCCGCACGTCAACGAGACCGCCACAAGCTATACCTTCTTCATGAGAACACAAAAAGCTGGTGAGTCTGTTGAGGATTTCATTGCCGAAATCAGGCGGCTGGTGTAGAAGTGCAATTTCAGGACATCGCTGAAGCGCATGCTGAGGGACCGAATTGTGTGTGGCGTGCACGATGAAGACGTCAGGCGACATTTATTGACGCAACAGAAGCTCACGCTAGAACAGGCAGAATGCTTTGCTATTTTGGCGCAAGACGCCGCTGAAAACGCCCGAATAATGCATTCTACCGACCAAAGTGCTGTAAATTTCGCACGCCAGAGGGACCGTACTCAGAAATTGCGACCGAAACTGGATACTCGCGGCTGCTGCGGTCGGTGGGGTAGCGCGAAAAATGTAGCGTAGGAATGTAAACACCTGCGCACAATGTGCCACAGGTGCGGCAAACGAGGCCACTTGAAACGAATGTGCCAGACAGCCAAGTCGGGTCACCGACAGAGCTCACATACGGATGTACGATGGCAAGGGGCGTACGCGGCGACAGCGGAAAGCTGTTCAACCTCGAATAGTTAAAAGGCCTTGTACACTATACAGGCCGTCCTTCATCAAGAAGCAAGCATACGCAAGGTGAACCCCATTTACAAAGTAGTAACCTGGGATAGCGATCCTCTGACAATGCTGGTGGACACTGGATCACCTGTAAGCATCTTTTCAGCATCGGTGTTTCGGAAGTATAAAATGAAGTGGCCGCCATTGGGAAAAACGAAGCAAAACTGTCCTGCCTATTGGGCGAACTTCCAGTGCTTGGACGGCTACGTATGACAGCCTGATGCGACGTCAAAAATATGCAAGGCACGGTTGATAGCATGGGACCATCGTTTATGTGGCAGAGACACGATAAAGGCTTTTAACGAAATCGTAGTTTCCATGCTGACAAACGTCGTCGCGAGCGTGCACCCCATTAAGTTGAACGAAGCCAACACGAAACTAGAGGCCCTGCTCAGCGAATATGCTGATGTCTTCGCTCGAGGTCTTGGACTTTGTAAGGGACCACCGGTGACATTCCTATTGAAAGAAAAAGCAGTTCCGCGGTTTTTCAAGGCCCGCACCGTACCTTACGCTTTGCGGGTCAAGAGGTCAGAAGCGCTGGATCAGCTAGTAGCCCAAGACGTCATTACGCCCGTGAAAACCGCCGAGTGGGAACACCAGTCGTACCCGTCATCGTCATAAAAAAGGATGGTTCGCTCAAAATGTCCGGAGATTTTCGGATGACTGTCAATGTGGCCACTTTGACGAAGCAGTACCCGTTGCCGCGAGTGGACGACATTTTTGCAAAGCTGAACGGCGGGGAAGTTTTTCACAATGTTGGACCTGCGCCAGGCTTACAACCAGTTACTGTTGGATGAAGACGCCCAGAAAATAGCAGTATTGAACACGCAAAAGGGTCTTTTCTGTTTCAAATGATTGTCTTTTGGTGTGAGTTCCGCACCAGTCATGTTTCAGAGACGAATGGACGCACTTCTGAGCGACATTCCAGGAGTACAGGTGTACCTGGATGATATCATCATGGTGGAAAAACGAAGTGACATGTCGCGGCCGCATTAAGTCTTTCAGAGATTGCGAGAATATGGTCTACGGTTGCACAAGGAAAAATGCAAACTTCGACAAGGTGAGGTCACTTTTCTTGGCCATCGTATCGACGCAAACAGATTTCGGCCGACAGACGAGAACACCAAGGCCGTTCGCACAGCGCCGGAGCCCACATCAGTGAGTGAGCTGAAAGCCTTTTTGGGTCTTATGAACTATTACGGCAAATTCTTGCCGAACCGAGCAACCACACTAGCACCGTTGTACGTGCTTCTCCAAAAAGGGGCCAGATGGCAGTGGAATCAGGAGCACAAAGAATGTTTTCGGAAAGTTAAAGAGGCATTACAAGCATCCAAGTTTTTGGCCCATTTTGATCCTGATAAGCCACTGAAGCTGGAGTGCGACGCATCCCCAGTAGGTATCGGAGCGGTTTTGTCCCACCGTGTCAGTGGTGCTGATTACCTGATAGGTTTCCGTTCCAGAAAGCTTACAAAGACAAAATGCAATTACTCATAGTTGGAAAAAGAGGCCCTAGCACTTGTGTTCGGGGTTGCACGGTTCAAGGAATATTTGTATGGTCATGAGTTTGTCTTGGTGACTGACCATAAATCTCTTACTGGGTTAATAAATCGAAAAAAAGTGATACCACTGATGGAAGCCGCTCAGATTCAGCGTTGGGCCTTGTTTCTAACTACAACTATATGGTACAGTATCGTAAGGGCAGTAAACATTCAAACGCAGATGCCCTCAGCCGATTGCCGCTGCTGGTTACAGAGCCATGAGAAGGCCATTCCAATGAAAGGGAGTATGTTTTGTTTGCCCAATTGATGGAGGAAACAGCTGTGCGCTCGAGAGATGAAACAATTGACCAATCAGAACTCTACTCTCCAACAGGTCAGCGAGTGGATTTTACAGGGATGGCCGCGGTTCCGACCCCAAGATCACGAGCAGTACCAGCCATACTTCCAACAGATGGATGGAACTGACCGCAAGTGACAATTTGGTGTACTGGGGCTATCGCATTGTTGTACTTGTAGCGGCAAGAAGACGCTCACTAAGCCTGCTGCATAAAACTTATCCCGGCATAGTTGCCAAAAGGGTATTGACAGGATGCTATTCTGGTACTTGGGACTACCCTCTGACATTGAGCGACTGGTCAAATCATGTGATATTTCTGCACAGGCTTCCGCGATGCCATCTGATCAGATGCCTGTATCCTGACCAGTGACCGGGGAGAGCTGGAGCCGTCTTCATGCCGATTTCGCCGGGCCGGTAGACGGCCACATGGTCTTGGTCATCGTAGACTCGGAAACAAAATGAATTGAAGCGGTGCCAATGAAAACTGCTACGTCTGAAACTACGGTCAGAGCTTTGCGTTCAATATTTGCACGGTTCGGGCTTGGCTTCCAAAAATGTTCGTGTCAGACAATAGACCGCAGTTCGTGAGCTCATACTTTTGTGAGTTCTTGGCACGTAACAATATACAGCAACTAACAACAGCACTCTATCATCCACAGTCGAATGTCTTAGCCGAGAGAGCGGTGCGCACGCTTAAGGAAGGATTAAAGAAAAATCCAGGATGTGACTTGATAACAAGGTTGAATCAACTTTTGTGCAGATACTGAACTCCGGGAGAAGATAGTAAGTCAGCGGCGGAACGTTTGCTGGGTTATCAGATTAGAATCAAGATAGACAGCATCAAGTCCAAAGAAAAACATTCTGATGGTTCGCCAACAGCAAGTGCAAGAAAGTTCAATGCAGGTGGCCCGGTTTAGATGCGCAGTTTTGGAAGAAGTCGAAGATGGATTCCAGGAGTAGGGCAAGACCATCAAGGTTTCAGAATGGTGACCGTGGATTGCGCTCAAGTACTGCACCAACGGCATCTAGATCAGCTGAGACATCGAGTGGAATCGGTGGACAGTGACCCTGGCCAGAAACAAAAGCATAAGCCAGTTGAAGCCACCACGGAAACTGTGCAAGACAGCCCGAAAAAAACGGTGACGGAATCAGCACCAACACCACCACTTTTGCGAAGATCAAGTCGGCCACGAAAACAACCTGAACGCTATGGATATTAAAAGGGGAGAGATGATGTGTCAGTGTGATGCAGTGTTATCAAGGCACGTCACTGCAACGTCACATGCGCTTAGTATAAATAGAAGCTGCTCAATAAACCTTCGTTCTTGTTGCGTTATCTGGCTTTCTTCTAGTATCTGGACAGCCTCATAACACCCAAGTGAAAAAGTAGATGAAGAGTAAATTTTGTGGAAACTCACGTTACAAAGAACATTCAACACTTGGCATAATTTTTGGCCCCGTTGGGTTCGAAAAAAAATTATGTTATAATCGAATACTATGTCCAATAGCCCTCAAGAAATGACAAATGGTGCGAAGCGCAGGGCAATCACAGAGACGGACTAAGTGCTGCCCTGCATTTGTCATTGTCCTGTTTCATGCTGCTTCAAGATTCCTTGAATATGTGCCAACCTGCCCAAATATGTGCTCTAGAACCCTCAGGAAATCTTCAATTTTCATCTTCCCAATGGTGTAGTTTTTGCACAGGTTTTGTAAATGCTTCTGCATGGTGATGAGCACTGACAGGTTCATGTTGTTTTGGAGCGCACTGACTCAATACTGGGCCATCTTCATAATCATGGTGGCTTCTTTCGAGCGCAAGGTGTCAATGGCCTTCCACTATGTTCAGCGGCCGTGGGCCATGGTGTTTCTCAGCCTTCTATTCCAGGCCTTTGCACATTTTTCACACCATGCCTTCCATGAACAGTAGCTTAGTTAACATATAGGGTATGCTAAAATTTACTAGAGGGAACTTAAACGCTGCGATTGCTTAGTCACCATGAGCATGATGAAATGGGAAGACTTCAAATACACTTGTAGCTTTGTTTACTGTTTTGTTTTGGATAAAAGAATGGAGCGTTGCAGACTTCGTGAGCTGAAGGTTATTGTGGTAAAATGAGACTGCTAGAATTGGTATACTGACAAAGCGAATGCAGGTCGCAAGGGAGCAGGAAGAACACAGACAAATCCGTGTATATTATCCATCATTCCCGTTCTGGCTTAAGCATCATGCATCGCAGATCCCATAGTGCCGTAGAGTGTATTCATCGTAACTAAGTTGTGCGAAAAATTAAAGTGCAAAAGTAAAACACCTGGACACTGCGCACACTAACTTTTCACTGCGTCAAGGTATGTTCCTTGTACTTCAATTTTTCTGGCAACTCAGTTAAGATGAATTACCAAATCGCCCAGCAGCCCGCGCTTCTCATGTATTTGTAGGAATCTTTGTAAGTTCAAGTACTGCATGTTGCCTCCTTTCTGCCTTTGCTTCTGTAAACAGTAATCTTTGTGGGGGAAGCTCTATGATTCAACTGTCTCTTATTAGTGATAAATGAAGGGGTGGCTGAGAAAAAGGTGTTACAGTCAAGGCAGTAATGCGGGCTGGTTGAATGGAATCCCTGGCATTTATTTCAGTAGCACAAAAAATAGACGCATACATAAGACGGGTCACTTCAACTGACATTATGCGCGTGTCTGTCTAATGGGTTTTGTATATTTCCTTGCAACAAAGTCAGTTCATGTTTTGCACCAACCCTGTTTATTGTGTCTGCTGGAGCCTGCATTTTTATTTCTTGTGCTACTGAAACGAATGCCAGTGATTCAAGCCAACTAGCCCCCATTACCACCTTGACTGTAACACCCCTTATTCAGTTCCACCTTCAATGGGCACATGAACTGACTTTAGTCCAAAGAAATGTACAAAACCCAAAGCCTATTGCACAGGTACACATGCAGTCAGTTGATGTCTAACACCTGTACTCTTTATGTGTCCTATCTTATGTCTGCATATTTATTTTTTGTGCTAGAGCCTTGATAAAGGCAAATCTGCTTGAACTAATCTAGCATTGAAGAAAAGTCCACTTGTTGAAACGTCGACTGGAACACATATCCCCTGTTTACGGCATCAGTATACTGTACAAGAGTGAAATTAGGTTGTTTTGGTGTCAAATGTTCTTAGCCTGATAAGTGGTGTTGCCCCAAATGCACTCGGTCCCTCTGCACAATTCCTATGCTCTGTATTTTATGGCAACTTTAGCAATATACCAGTTGTTAGTAGCGCTTAGTACTGTCTTCTTAGAGTGTCCGTCTTTCTAAACGCAAAAAATGAAAACTTTTATTTTTTCAATTTTTTCGGGAAAGACCTTTTTTTTTTTTTTCAGAAACAGTTGTTCCAATTTTAGACTTCATCACTGCCGGTGTTCCAGTACGGAAACAGATTCTAGCCAGAATCACGTTGAGCCACGCTCTCAACGCTGCCTGAATTTATCGCTTTAGAACGCACGACAGGGAATAAGACCTCTGGTAGACTTCAATGGGGGCCAACGGACGCATTCGAAACTGCAGAGTGAACAGCTTGCAACATCAGATACTTCACCATTCTAATACCTGGACTATATTAACGTCGAAATGTACATCAAGTACTCTTTTAATTCTAACATTAGGCGGTGGCACAAAACGTCAACCTGCAATGACTGATCGTGGTCTGCGATTAATGCGCGGTCACTGGACTTGTTTGATTTGTTGAAAACGCAATGCAAATAACGCCGCAGTACGATGACACTTTGATCTTCGCAATACTTTTAAACTAAAGAATGAAATCAACAGTTAATCATGCGTACGCTCCTTTGGAAGACATCACAAAACCGGCATCGAAGACAGGAGGGCAACATCTAACGCATAAGCGAAACTAGCACCTACCTAAGCCAGAGGCGATCTCACGGTCGCTGCAAGTTGCAGGGAAAGTTCAACGCGTTTTCATCGTCGGCAGTTCTGGCTTAATTCTAGCAGAAAGAATACACCGGCGCAGCTGACAGTTCAGGGGGTCCGCCGTAATAAAACAAATGAACCGCACAGCCCGTAGAGGTCACCCCGCTGAGCTGCGTTCACGTGAGCAGCGGCAATAATAAACAATCAAGAGCACTAGAGTCCCTAGATCTTTCCCTAGAGAGAAAATTCTAAGGAACGTAAAAATATAGGAGAGGCCCCACATGCCCTACCCTATCCCAATGCATTGTGGCGGAAGTGACGTCAATGGGGCAAACAAACCGGTATGGGGCAGACAAAATAGCAGACGCTCTGCGGCGTGCTCTCAGCGCTGGTTCACTTCTGTGTGGACTTATGGCCCCGGCGTAAACTTGACGCGTATTGTATGGTTTGCATGCAATAAAATGTTACAAGCACACCTTTCCGAAGTTTGTGCATGGCGGGCCCGAGCGCGGCGTGCTGATATACTTCGTGGAGTGTTTTCATGCAACAGCATAGGAAGCACCGGTACGTGTCGTAATCGAAATCATTCAGCCCCTAAATTATCGTACTCGAACTCACCCAGCAGTGACTTACGCGTTCTACTCGCCGTAACCCCCCCCCCCCCTTTTTTTTTTTTTTTCTCTTAGCCAGATTTTCCAATCTACGGGCTGATTAGCAGTTCTTTGCTCGTATATAGTGTCATTGTGGCAATACACGATTTTGAGAGCTTGCTTCGTAGCTATTCCGTGCAACGCCAGCCTAGTACTTGACGTACTTCCCGTCAGTAAGAAGGCACCACTGTATTGTACACGCAATCGTGGGCGTAAAGTGTGTAATTCCAGTGCGTGCGCACACAACACGCAGCGAGTCCACACCGTACGATACATACACATTTAGTCCGATAACTAGAAAAGTTTATTGTCCTTCCGTATGAACGACACAACTTGTACAAACGCGACACGATGCCTACAACACTAAAAACAAAAGTTAGCGTGTGTTTTCAGTTGACACAATGAGTAAGAACCAACGGAGCTTGTATACAGCAGAGAGCTCCACATGCAAATACCATGCATTACTGAACAACAGTGAAGCGAACATACGTGCAAAGTGCCACCAGGTACATCCGGTGGTGCACGTACGCGATTCGCACCGAGTATACACTACAGCTGGGCATCGCACAGCTTTCCTAAAAAACACGCAAGAGAAGCAGTACTCGTGAATTGACTCGCTGCCGGCAGAGAACACCTACAGGCTTCCACTCTGCCGGCGCCGCTTCCGCCACGGCGACAGCTCGCCGGAAATCGTGAAGCGTTCATTTACTTTTCCGCTAGGAGGTAGTGCGAGTGTTAGCGATTCAAAAGTTGAGCAGGTCGGTTGGTGCAGAGGCAGTGCGCAACACGAGATAATTTTTCCTTTATTTTTTAGTGTTTATAAACATTATTATTTTTTTTTCTTATTCAATAACTTGCGTTGCGAGAACTGTAGGTATGGGACACATGTAACGTTGCAGTGACGTTGACCACGTGAACGGGGTAGGCGGCTGTTTTGAAGAAGTTCGGTGTGCCCATTTAGTTGTGTGCCCAACAGCTAGAGCCGAACACGAAGGGGACCTAGTGAGAGGCTACTAGCGAAATTGAACACGTGTGTGTGCGGTGTAGGCGGCAGCTTCAAACAGTTGTTGAGGTAGGAGAGTTAGCGTAGACGGCTGGATAGCGGGATTAGGGTTGAACTTAGGGCTGTCGGGCGCTCGGTCCGATGGTCGGGTAGGCGATGGCTAAAGAGGCTATGAAAACCACGGGCGAGAGTGAGCTGGTGCAGTGCGAAGAATGAAAGCGCTGGTGCTACTTGGACGAGACAGCATTCACGAGTTTCGCCGACGCGCAGAAGGCGAACTTCGTGTGCAGGCTGTGCAAAGCACTGAAGGCGGCCGTGCAGCGCATGGAGGCTAGCATCAAGGGGCTTCAGGGGCAGCTTAGGGCGGAAAGGGAGCGGAGGATAGAACTTCAAAAACAGCTTGGAGCGTCGCGTGAGCGGGAGGAGGCTACCGCCAGCTAATTAGGGCAAATGAAGGGCGACCTTCGAAAAGAAGGGGAGGGGCGGACCGAGCTCGAGCAGCGCTGAAAGGCAAGAATGGCGCTTTGCCCCTGCCCCGAGCGGTGTGAGACGGAAGGCGTGAGTAGCGGAGAAAGCGACAGGCGAGAAGGGAGGTCAGGGGGCCGCAGTGTCTGGCCACAGCACGGAGGCTCCGAGAACATACAGCTCGGTGGCGCGGCAGTCTTCGAGCAGGGCAGGAACACAGGGTAGATGACAGAGAGAAAAACAGGTAAATCAAACAGGGTCGCCATCACAAACAGGAAGCCAGCGATTGAGGCGTCGAAGGGTCCAAGTGGTGGGGGGCTCTAACGTGTCCAGGGTTAGGGATGGCGTCTTCACGATAGTTAAGGAAGATGGGAGAGTGAGGGTGGAGGCCCAGTCAGGGAAGAGTATGATGGATGCACTGGGCAAAGCTCAGGACGTTGTAGAGGACACATGTAGGGAGAAAATGTCGTCATTATTCATGCTGGACTCAATGATGTGCTGAAGGGCAAGGATCAGAACCTTCTGAGACAGTTAAAGGATGGGATGCGTAAGCTCCGAGAAGCCTCTGGGGGTGTGCATGCGAACATACGCACAGTCCCAGAGGTCCGGGGGCAGTCTCGTGGGATTTAGTGGAGGCCAACTGTGTGATCAAGAGTATAAGCCGGCAACTCGGATACAGCGTAATGGAGGTGAACCAAGACGTGTGCGAGACCGGCGCTCGCCCCTTTGCACAGGATGGCACTCATTACAGTGGTGCGACGGGCAGGAGGGTTGTTAATGGGATGGGTCGTCAAGCCACAGTTTTTTTAGGGGGACCCAGAGCCCTGAGGCCAACAGTGTAGCCAAAGACGGTTCTAAAGGGGTACAAATATTCAAGCCACGCGGAGTCCATGCAGAAGAAATCAACGTAAGCACAAGGGCCGAGCCAAGTCAGACATAGGCTATATTAAGATGCAGGGTGGCAGGAATAGGTTAAAGTGGGAATAGATAGAAGAGCAGTTGAGGCAGGAGGAGCTGATGGTATATGGGGTTGTGGAGACACATCTTCGAGACATGGAGCAACCACCTTGCAATACGGACTACGTATAGGAATATTGCAATAGAACAGAACGCAGCAAAAAAAAAGAGGGGGGGGGGTGGAATTGGTGCATTCATACATAAAGGTATGGGTCGGCAGAGTCAAGCAGGGATGCATGGAGCATTTATGGTTAAGAGGGAAAGTAGCTGGGCAGATGACACTCCTTGGTTTGGTGTACTTGTGGACAGGAGCAAAGGCCAGAGAGGAAAACCAGGCAATGGTGGAGTGTATATCAAAGGATATTGAGGAATTAGGAGGAGAGTGCGAAGTAATTATACTAGGAGATATGAATGCGCACATAGAAGATATAGATGAGTATACTGACCCAACAGGCAAAATGATCATGGATATGTGTGAAAAGCATGATTTGATCATTTGCAACAGTACTGAGAAGTGTGAAGGGCAAATAACATGGGAGTTAGGAAGGTTGCAGTCGACGATAGATTATGCATTGATGTCACATAAGATGTATGACAAGCTCAGGGGAATGCACATAGATGAAGGTGGCTCCAGAAGTCTGGGTAGTGTTCACAAACGTGTCAGGCTAAGTTTCGGAAGAGCAGTGAAAGTAGGAAGGAGGCAAGATGGGCAACTATGGGGAAATTTTTATTCAGAAAGGCAAATAGAAATAGCTACTGAACAAATTGAGAAAGTAATCACTGAGGATAATAAAACAGTACGGACATACACGAATCTAATTAGACTGTTTGAGCTAGAGCTTGCTAAGGCACGTGACAAGTCACCCCGGAAAACAAGACACAAACCCAAGAGTTGGTGGGATGAGGAACTTAAAAGAGCCATGGCAAAACGTCAGGAATACTCTAGGGAACACAGACATGCTAAGCAGCGGGGTGAACCGACAGATGATGTTGAAAGAAAATGGGCCATCTTTCTAAGCTGTAAAAGGGAAGCATCCCTTCTGATCAATGAAAAGATTAGAAGAAAGGGGGCTCAGTGGCTGGCAGAAGTACATAAAAAGGATAGAAAGGCAGCTGCGAAATTTTGAAACCATCTAAACTCTCTTAAGAAATGAGACACGCCTAGAGCAGAGGTTTATAACTACAGCTCAAGGTGCTAGGCTAGAAGGGGACGAAGCTATTGAATATATAAGAACAAGGGTGACAGGAAAATTTCAACAAAGAAGTGACTTATGCACCACAATAGACAAGCATAGGTCAAGAGGCGCAATGGCTCCATTTTCACAACGAGAGTGGGAAAGAGCTGAGAAGAGGGTTCCTAGCAGTACATCAACAGGCCCAGATGGCATTCCAATTATGCTGATAAAGACATTGGGTCCGAAGAATAAACAGACCTTGAGAGAGGCAGTGAGCTAAACAATAATTGGTGGTGAAGTCCCCGATGAATTAGAAGCCAAAGTAGAGGGAAGTGGACTTGGCTTCAACCTCTCTTTCGTCAAACAAGGAAAACTCATTAATCGGGCCCTACCAGCATTAATGTACGCAGATGATATAGTGCTAATGGCCGACAACAAGGAAGATTTGCAGAGATTGATGGACATCTGCGGTAATGAGGGAGATAGGTTAGATTTTAGATTCAGTATGGAAAAGTCAGCAGTCATGATTTTTAATGATAACGAAGGTAGTGAGCTTAGAATACAGGAAGTCACGCTAGAGATAACAGATAAATACAAATATCTGGGCGTATGGATAAGCAATGGGACCGAGTACCTAAGGGAACACGAAATATACCTGACGACTAAAGGTAACAGGAATGCAGCAGTGATGAAACATAGGGCACTGTGGAATTACAATAGGTATGATGTGACAGGAATATGGAAAGGGGTCATGGTTGCTGGTCTGACTTTCGGCAATGCGGTCTTGTGCATGAGATCGGAGGTTCAAGCAAGATTAGAAATTAAGCAACGTGGAATAGGTAGGCTTGCTTTAGGAGCTCACGGGAATACACCAAATCAGGGAGTACAAGGTGATATGAGATATCGTGCGAGGGCAAGGAAGCTAGC